TGTCGCAATGCTTACATTTCAAACTATTTCGATTTGAAGGAAGTCTTAATAGATACTCGATACAGATTCCAATACTAAAATAATAAAACAATACTCTGTTTAGACAACAGAATGTGATTTTCAACATAATAAATAATATTACTTATAATAGTACTTCCTTCTGTATTTCCATGCAGTCTTCTATCTGTGTAATCCCCCAGTCGTTCAAGTAGGTTCCATAGTGATCCATGGGCGTATACTGCTCTATTATTTGCACTTATACTTGTTCTGATACAGCTCCAGATCACTCTAAAACTATTCAGGAAAGGTTCATTTCTGTCTTATGAATGTGATTTTTTAGTATCGATACCAAAGTCTGTCATGATAATTACCATATCCACTTATCCTTCAATATATGTAAGCTGGAACAATATTTTTTGGGTCAGTATTTATCATTTGTATATTTTTTTTGCACTAGTGAGAATTTTTGGTTGTTATTTGGATGTACAATAAGATTTAAGGTGTAAAAGGTTCACTAAATGACTCGTTATAGATGCAAACTAAATACTAAAGTATTTCAGTCTGCTATTGACTGTAGCAACTTATGATTTAACAATATTGTAGATTTTTGGGGATAATTCTACTTGAGGGTTATTGTGTCAGTGGCATAAATTAGTTTCAGTATCACTATTTATCTGTCTATATTCTTCATCAATATATCGAAAGACATCAAAATTGTTATCGTGACAGGACTATCGAGACCTGCTGAAATGAGTATCTATAGTTTCGATGCTAGTTTTAGTATCGTTAGTGTCTGGTTTTCGATATTTTTTGACCACCCTATGCATGTCACATGAATGTCCCTACAGAGAGACAGGGGAGCTCAGTGCTGTTACATAACTCTATGAACTCAGCCAGCAGTGGGGTCTACATGAATAAGTAACTCAAAGCTACTGTAGGCAGCCTCGCGTGTGCCCCTCTTTGAAATGAAAATGAGTCATATTTTTACTTTATTGCGCCGATATAGAAAGCGTCAAAAATGAGAACGCTATCTGTGGAAAACGGTTAACACTGGTGTCAACTTGAGTCTGTATTAGGAAAATGAGTGTGCGTGCAGTTTTTTTGTGTGTATAATTATGGGTAAGAAGGTCTGAGCAGCTTTTCCAGCACCATCTGCAGAAGATATTTCCAGAAATATAAAACAAACATTATCTTGGGCTGTATGAAGACAAATGTAAAATGGAAAGAAGGGAAATCTCTAAGCCTGTCACGATTGCAAATTTTGAGGTTCGATATATTGCTGAAGAAAATATAAATGATAAATGATAATACTGAAACTAATGTATGCTATGGGCAAATTAACCTAAGAGCAGATTTAAAGCACAAAATTATTCTAAATCTACAATACTGATCAAAATCATGAGCTGCTGATAAATGAATAGCAGAATGAAACACTTTAGTTCTTTAATTTAGTTTGCATCTGTAATGAGTCATAAGTGAAAGAGGCTGAGATATTTTTATTACTTATTTCTATTTTGCTTTATTTTTACTTGTACGAATACATTTATATAATTATGACTTATTTGACACCAGTCTCTTGATATTTTTGCTACTTATTTAGAATTTATTATTACTATTTATATTTCTTTGCTCTTTGTTATAATATATTGTGATGTGGGAGCTACTGTGTCCAAATAATTTTCCTTGTGGATCAATAAAGTTCATCTAAGTCCAAGTCTAAGTCATCAATTCAACCTTCTGTGGCTCATCTTATCATGAAGCCAAAAATTGACGACAAATGTTCCAGTGATACAAAAAAAATATGCACACGATGAATACTGACCACGATGATTTGTCCCAGCTTTCATATCTTGAACGATAAGTTGATATAGTAATTATCGTGACAGGCCTAGAAATCTCTGAGTCTTTCTGAAGAGATCCGAAGCTCTCTAGATCCAGTTGGTGTAGCCTCGGTTTAGCCTTTGTTCTAACAAGCATAACTGGTCAGAATACCTCTATACAAGCGCACACTCATGCATAAATCATAGCGGCTGGTGCATTATTCATCCTGTCATCTCTATACTAAGTTACAGTCTTTATAACCCCCTCTTTCTTTCTCTTTGTCACATCCTGTACCCCTAATTTCAGCAGAGACACTGGAGCAGGTTGTGTTTTAATCATAGTAGTTGTCAGCTCCTTATCTCCTCTCATTGTGTGTGTGTGTGCGTGTGTGTGTATGTTTGCGTGCGTGTGTGTGTGCGTGCGAGGCTGGGGGTTTGAAAGGGGAGGAGGGGAGGGAGGTTTGCGTTCTGACAAAGGTGAAGCGTGGGAGGCATATGATTTAATGTAGGTATCATAGACTGTATATAAATGGACAAAGCTAACCAGCTCGCCATTGCATTCCAAACATGAAGTAAACATAGGGGCTAGGGGTGCGCAAAATTATTGAAATATTGATATATTGTATCGCCTAATGTGATGATACAGTATCGATATCGTGGGCTGCTGTATCGATATATCACCAAGAGTATTTTTTGGTATATTTTACTCCATTATTTTGTAGTTTTGTTGCTTGTTTAGAGGAAGCAAACTTATTTATTCAACAGATTTGACATATTCACCGTTGTGATGATTACAATGTTTGTGTTTCATATGAACTTTGCACAACAAGTGACTTTAAGACTTTTAGTATCACAGCCATGATTTAGCCTATTTTTATTGAACCGTGTCGAATTGATTTGAAATATATCGCATAGAATCAAAAGTGCACTGTATCGAGATATGTATTGTATCGCGGCCTATGTATCAAGGTATGTATCGCAACTTCTTAATGATACGCAGCCCTAATGGAGGCGCATCCGGCTCCATCGACTCTAGCTTCAGTTGACTTTACATTGAAAAATGATCGCCTCTCTCTGTAACTGCTGCAGTGAGCCTCATAATTTCAATACCATCCAGGACACAAATGGGCGTTCCCGTGTGGGTGGGGGCTTCCTCATCACTGTCAACATCCTTAACAGCTTAACATCAACATCCGGATTAACAGCTTTCGATAGTTAAAGTTAAAGTTTTCTCAAAGAGAAGTTTCAAAATAACATCTAGTCACAGAGTAAAAGTTAGCAAACTAAGCCAAATGCATAACGCGTCCAATTACATCTATCGCAGGCAGACTTCAATTAGCATCGAACTAGCTTGGTAGCACAGCGAGTGGCTATAGAAGGTTTAGCATATACATTTTTATACAGTCTAGAGAAAGAGGAATAGTGAGTGTGGGGGGAGGGAGAGATATGGCTACAACCGTAGACTGTATTTATTTAGACTACAACACGATCATTTCAGTGAGGCTTCATGGTGTTGGCTCTTTATTTTAATACGTCATTTTGGTCTTATAATGTTCATATCAATCCGCTGTACATGATCCTGGTGTTTCTATTGGTGTTGCCATTTTGTCCGTAAAAAATAATCTTGCTCCTTATATGGTAGCGGAGTAGTTGTCAGCTCCTTATCTCCTCATTTTGTGTGTTTGTGTGCGTGTGTGTGCGTGTGTGTGCGTGTGCGTGCGTGTACGTGTGCGTGTGCGTGTGTGGTGGGAGGTGGCGGGGGGCTTGGGAGGGGAGGATCAGGGAGTTGTGAGGGGGGTGTTCTGACAAAGGTGAAGCGTGGGAGGCCAATGACAGGAGACTAGGGATCTTTTTGGACTGCTCCACTGGTGCAGGAAGTGGCAGGCGAATGGGTGAAACTCGAGTTCAAAGTAGCAGTGCTTAGTGTCAGGAGGGCCCTACTGAGTGACTGATGCTGTAGGAGGAAGAGGAGGAGGAGGAAGAGGAGGGGAGAGATGAGGTGATGGAGGGAGGACGAGACAAAAGGTTCAGGCTGACAGTGGTACCGGCAACCTGGAGATATTTAAGGCTCTGTGGTGAATCATCGCTTTTGTGTTTGGAAAAAGAGGAAAGATATTATTATTATATTTCTTGATAAAAAAAAAAGTAGTTATTGTTGAAAATGACTCACTACTTTCTTTCTCTCCTTCTAACTTTCAGTGGCCATTTGAGATTACAAAAAAACAAATAGTGCTTGAATATTGTGGAGAAACTGTGTGAGTGCCCAGTGGCAGAGCAGGAGTGTACCAATCTATTTTTTTCAGTTCTGATATTAATTTCGATACTATAGCTTTAAGGAGCTGCCAGAATCAGTGCAGAGAATAAAAACAGCCTTTATTTCTTTTATAGAGAAAATACAGTAAGAATAAACTGATCCAGATGTGTTTCAATTTATATCTCAAGTAACTACAGAACAACTTGTATAAAAAAAAAGGTCAAACATTCAGAGACTTTCTGTTCCAATTATGATCAGTAAATAGTCTTATTGCATCAATTTATATGTCCAACCAGAATATCAGATTAATTGGGATTTGGAAACAGAGCTGATCCAGCAGGTTTTTCAGTATCTGTGCAGATATCAGATACCAGTATCAGATCAGTGCTTCCATAGTGGTAATATAATATATAGAGTAATATTTTCAACCTTCAACGCACTCAAAGAAGCTCTCACCCATAGAAAATGTATTATATATTTTTTTTAAATGTGAACAACCAAAAATAAAGTTAATTTATTCATTCACACATTCATACACCAGTGTACAACGACACTTGAGGAGGTGAAGTGTCTTGCCCAAGGACACTGAGCATTCACAGTATTCATCTGTGAAAGCTGGAGTTGCTGGAGTGTGGGTCAGTGGATCTGACCACTCTACCAATGATATTTATGTCAAGAGTAGGACTTTACCAAATGAGATACTGCTGCCATGAAACTTTTTTGTTATAATCTGTACAAAATTCCCCTTAATCCCAAAAATATTAATCAAAGAATTCCCTAAGTAGACCTCCACTAAGTGTTAATTGAATAGGCCCAAAATAATGCAGCTAAATTAATAATGCTTCACTGGCGTCTGGATTTAATTAGCAGTCACTCATGTGTGGGCACTTTTGTTGTTGTTTACGTCTGTGGCATTGTAGCGTTACCTCCTCTGTTCCAGTCGCCGTCTGTGCCCTCGCCGCTGCCCTTCTCCATCTCCAGAAGCACACGAGCGACCTGCAGAACCACGCCATCAACCAGGTCCCGAGGGAGAGAGGCGCAGTTCCTCACACTCTCAACCTTATCTCGCGGCTGAAACCCGGCTCCCCATTGGCTCCCCGGGGTCCCGCAGGAAGTGTTGTCATGGCAACAGTGCTTGTCACTCCCGATGTTCGACCCATGAACTGTGACCCCAGGGGCGTTCTGGCGACTCTGGATGTAGAGCGCTCTTTGCCGTTCAGCTTCGCTCTCGTCTGATTGGCTGTAGTTCCTCGACTTTCCCACGAGGCACACCTGTAGACAAACATGTGAGTCTTTAATCGCAGTAAAATAAGTCAAGAAACTACAAACTCTACAATGAAATAAAACCATATCAGTCAATAAAACCGCACAAAGAAATACTTAAATGTGCAATGTGTAATTGTTCTGGTGGAGGTTTCATCACCTGTTTGTTTCTATGGATACGCTACTGCTCTGCCTGGTATGTTCCACAATACGACATTAAACAGCTTACATTTATTCAATTACAGTTGGTTTTATAGCTCAAACAAATCTACAAAAACAGGCATTCTGACAGTGAGCAAGGTTGCCTCTCCACAGATCTGACTTGTAACTTGGTCTAGTTTGGTCTCCATGAAGATAGAAATGTTTAATACAACACTGTGAAACATTCCAAAGCAATAAAATCTCCATGGAGAAAAGCCTTTTTCCCAAGAAAAGTTACACAATGCACCTTTAAATGAACAATGAATGATCACGCGCATTCAGATCTCAGCAAACACCTGCTAGCTCTCATTATCCACTGGTGTGTATGGCAGTGTTTAAGGGCTAGCAGCATTAAAGCAAACCGCCTTTTGGGAACCATAAAGACTTGATTTACTTCCGTCTGCCTCCAAATGAGGCTCAGGTGGAAAAGGCGGTGATGCACAGCTGGGCTCGTCAGGGAGAAACAGACCCGTGGTTTATGATCATTTAGTTGTGATGTCTTACATTAGCGCTGTCTACTTTGTATTCAGACTGGTTGATTAACAAGGCCATTTAATCAATGAAAAGTGCATATGTCTCTAATAGAGTTTTTTCTCTTTTCAGGGCTACACGGCCTTCAGCGCGTTGAAAAATTCAGTTTAGAAATTTGTGTTTTACTTGTATTTCATTTCCTTTAGGTATGTTTATTGCAATGTTATTTAAGAATAAAAAGCTTTTGGACATCAGCCATCTGAATGTGCTATGCATTTTTTCACTAATGTTTACTGCAATTAACATTAGGTATGTTTATTCATCTGGTAACAAATTAAAGGACCCATATGGCACTATTTTCTGATCTCTTGTATAATGTTGTTTCCTCATCAAAAGCATACCAGGAGTCATGTTTTGCTTCATTCACACATGTGTAATACATAAATCCTGCATATTTAAGTTGAGGCCTTCACTTGAAATATGTTTTGGAGAAGGTAACATTATAACACTGCTCAAAGCTTTTGCGTAATATGGGACCTGTAATGAACTAAAGAGTAATACAGATTCAGAGACAACTATTCAGATATTCAAAAACATTAAAGATTTGGTGCCTGAGTTCCCCTTGTGGGCGCTTATGTGGCAATGACATCACCAAAAAGATTTCTGCATCTTTGGAAATGTCAGATACAAACCAAAGTGAGAAAAGTTATTTTAATTATCATTGCATTATTATTCATTCATTGTTAGATTTTGTTGTTGTAAAACCACCTGACTAATACACTGACTAACAAGCAGCCTCTTTTACATTACAAACTGGACTGATAATGAAAAACAAATGTGTGTAATTTTTTTGTATAGAGCATTAAAGTTTGTTTTTTTTTTACACTATTTTCTGATATTTGTGTGATGTACGGAAGCCCTGAGAGGCAAGAGAAAGAAAAAAAAAGAGGCAGGTCATTTGAAAAAAAAAAAAAAATCTCAAAAAAAAAGATAAATAAATAAAAAAAAAAATCTACATATTTTTTTCGAGAAATTTTTTATTTTTTTCTTAAAAAAAAAAAAAAAAAAAAATCTACAATTTTTTTTTTGGCTGTTGAAAAAAAACCACCACACAGAGCCTAAGTGTTTCCCTGGTGTATTCCTATAAGTACCACGCTGGAGATTTGGCTTATGGCGTTAGATTCTGGGTTGGGACATGGGAGGCCAGGGTTCAAAATTCACTAATTCAAAACTCACTAATTCAAGATGAATACAGTCTTTTCATGAGTTTTATGTTTTATGTTCTCTTTTATGAGTAATATGAGAAGTAAGATCGATGCATCACTGATCCGCTGTCATTCTGTGAGAGCGAGAGTGGGGAATCACTGCTCCAGGCTGGAAGACAGAACGCCACACTGCCTCTGGTTTTAGCGAGACTGAGGTGTGCCCTGACGCGTAGAGCGGCCGTGTTTCCCGGGAGCGGACATTTTGCATTTTGCGCGTTCTCATTGCGATGGGATTTGAGAGAGAGCGAGAGCGAGAGAGACGCTGCGATCATCCAACAGTCTACAACGGACGCACCTCCGGGCCCCTCCCCACAGTCCTGGTTCAGTCCTGGTCCTTTCATGTCTGTTCGGGTCAGGGTGTACCTCAGTCCAGTTAAAACCAGAGGCAGTGCTCTGAGTGATGTTTTTTTTTTCGTCAACTGCATCAACAGCGAAAAAAAAAATAACACAAGAAAAAAAAATAATAATAAAATTTTTAGAAAAAAAAAAATTTTTTTTAGATATTTTTTTTTACACTTTGAAAACAGAGCCCAAATGACCTGCCTCTTTTTTTTTTCTCTTGCCTCTCAGGGCTTCCATAGTGATGCATGTTGTTTCCTTATAAAATACATACCTGGAGATGTGTTTTGTTTCATTCTCACATGTTTAACATACAAACCCTGCATATTTAGGCAAAATTCTTCTCACAAACTGAAAACACTCCACCTTTTCCTGTTTCACCTTTTGATGTCATGAGATACTACAGAAAGTGCTCCACTGTGTTTTTAAACTCCATACACCTTCACTAGAATCTTTTGGATAATTTCAGTCCTGAAAGTGCCTGAACTAAAGGTAAAAGGTAACCGTTAATTTGTAAACAACATGACATTGCAAGGTGGAACAGAGCATTTTGAGCTTTGGAGATGTACACAGACAAATAATAAAAGATTACTCAAACATGTGTGAATGAGACAAAACACAACTCCTGGTCTATTTCTAATGAGGAAACAACATTATAAAAATTCACAAGAATCAACTTTGCGTAATTAGACCTTTAATATCTGCCCACACGTCCAACATAGATGCTCAGTAGACGTTTATGTGTGCAGCCATTTTGTGAAGTTTTAGACCTACAGTACAGTGAGCTATCAGTGTGTTAAATCAGCCATGACCAGGTCCACAGACGTTGCAGAGGGGCTCATAAAGTCTTACCCTTTTGGTGGATGGAATTCTCAGGCAGTCCTCCTCTGTGCTGAACCCGCTCACTTGGCTGACCTCAGAGATAAAGTCGATATATTCCTTGTACTGAGACTTCTTGCACTGGCGCCGCTGGTATTTTCCATAAAAGTCGAAGAAACAACAAGGCAGGACGAAATAGCGGCAGGAGTAAGATGACCTAGAATGGGAGTTATTTTTGTTATTTTAGTTTTTTTTAATTTAATATGCAGTTTATGCGAGATTTATGACATTCTATAGTGCAATAACATTTTAAGGGTCTATAATATCTATGTTATAATCAGTATTTGAAAGTAACGGATTACATGTACCGGCATTACGTAATCAGAGTACAAATTATGAGTAACTGTATTCAGTTACAGTTACTGTTTCAATGAGTGGTAATTGGATTACAGTTACAGGGCGGTATTTTTCTGTGTTTATATTTTGGGCTAAACCAGGACTAAAACCAAGACTAAATCAGGACTAAAACCAGGATTAAACCAGGACTAAACCAGGATTAAAACCAGGATTAAAACCAGGATTAAAACCAGGACTAAACCAGGATTAAAACCAGGACTAAACTAGGCCTAAACCAGGTCTAAACAATATGACACCTAACAGTAGAGTGGACATAATTTAAAGCAGCAGTGATCTCATATAAAAATCATTTGTCTATAAATAATTTTATAAATAATTTTTAATGCAGTTAAGGAAAGACTGGGCTTTTTATTGTCTTTTAGCAGACAAAACATCTTATGTTAAGAATCCTAGTCTTTGCTTCTCTACAGCAAACAGTTGCCTGTTCATGGAGACTTGGGCTCAACAGACAATTTGAAGAGAACAAACAAGAATATGCAGGATGTGGTTGCTACATTCGTGTCATTTTAAAAAGCATGACAATACAAGTAATCCAAAGTATTCAGATTATGTTACTCACCTTAAGTAATTTAATGGATTGCGTTACAAACTACATTTTGGGTCTTTGTAATCTGTAATCTGTAGGGGAATACATTTTAAAAGTAACCTTCCCAACACTGGTTATAATCCAATAATGTTGTTTCCTCATCACAAACATATCTGGAATTGTGTTTCATTTCATTCACACATGTTTAACACACACAAATCGTACAAATCTGTTCCACCTTGTGATGTCATGTGGTAATACAGGATGGGCTCCACTGTGTTTTTAAACTCCGTACACCTTCTCTAGTGTAATTTGGATAACTTCAGCCCTGGAATAGGTAAAAAGGTAGCAGTTAACTTGAGAACTACCACTTCATTACATCACAAGGTGGAAGAGAGCATTTTGAGCTTTGGAGATGTAAACAGAATGATAATAAAGGTGTACTCAAACATGTGTGAATGAAACAAAATATAACTCCAGGCATGTTTTTGAGGCGGTAACAACATTCTAACATGGCTTAAAGCTCACAAGAGTCAATGTTGCATAATTCAGGACATTTAATATAATGGGACAGCTAAAATTATCATCTGAAATCAATAGTAATAAATTGGGGCTTTCTAGAAGTCTCTACCGCTCTAATTTTAAGTACTGCATCATAACACCCAATAACAAAGTGATACCAACTGTTTAACTAAAACACAAACAAAATGAGATTAGTGTGTTAGGCTCAACGTTGCCATCAGGTGGTCAACTCCTAAATTACACATGACATTCAAACGACACACATGTATTGGGGCATCCTCTCACACATGCTCGCAAAGCCCATAATGTAATTCCAATGAGAAAAGAGCAGATGGCCCTCGATTTTCTGAGTGAGATTGTGTGTTGATGACTGGCCTGGCAGCGATGACTGGTATCCATGGTGTGAGCTCATCCGAGTGGTTCCCAATCAGCCAGTCCGTACAGGGGAATAAGAAGGATTCGCTGGGAGTAATTGCCTTTTCCTGAAATAGCACAAAAAAAGAAAAAAAGAAAAAGCATAAGAGGTCCTAAGAACAGGGAGGATGCAAAGAAGCTTGATTTTATTTAATTAAATTACAGCTATATATCCAGTTTAAAGGTGCATTACGTAACTTTTCTGGTGGAGGGTCTGTCAAATGCTTATTGCTTTGACTAGTATTTTTCACAGTATGGTATTAAACCTTTCTATTTTCATGGAAATCAAACCAGGACAAGTTATAGGTTAGTTCTGTGGAGAGGCGCCTCTGTTCAGAATCAAAATGCCTGTTTTATTTTATTTATTTATTTTTTTTTTAGGTATTTTTGAGCTATACAACCACCTGTAATTTAATAAATATAAAGTCGATCTGTTTAATGTCATATTGTGGAACATTCTAAGCAGAGCAATGACATTCATAGAAACAAAAAGGTGATGGACCCCCGATCAAAAAGTTCCACAGTGCTCCTTTAAATCTAGGCTCAGAGCGGTCCCGTTTAACAGTGCGTATGACTGAAAGGTTCATTTTGTGATGTTTATTTATGTTTTGATTTGTCTGTATTGTGATTTTAATGGCTTTACAGAATTGGAAAGCCATTAAAATGACTTTAATTTGAGTTACTTCTGCTACAGAAGGACTCGCTGGGAGTAATTGCCTTTTCCTGAAATAGTACAAAAAAAAAAAACAACACATGAGAGGTCCTTAGAGCAGGGAGGATGCAAAGAGGCTTGATTTTTTTTAAATCAATTTTCAGTCAATAGGAGGGACAGTAAGAGGCAACAAATGACATTTTAAGGATTCTTGGAGATAGGATTTATTACTGTTTAAGTATGTTGCATGTGGTAATGATAGGTAAATGGGTTTTAACATTTATTTTAAAGACCTTTAAAAACATGACTTATCAAATGTTACTGATTATTTTCTCATCTTCCTGTGACCTATTTCTTGCCTTAACATAGATCTGACCTGTAACTTGGTCCTTGCAGCTTTACTTGCGTCTCTACAAGAAGATATATTAAATATTATTTTATGCCACACTGTGAAAAATTCCAGGTAAAGCAAAAACATCTCCAGAGACAAGCCACTAGAAAAGTTATATAGTATACAGTACTTTTAATTTCACATGAAGATAACACCATCAATGGCTGGAGGACCTGATTGAACTGAGCAATAATATAAATGTGATAAAAAATTGCAACAAATTTATAAATTACTTGGAACAAACAAAAACAAAAACAAACTGATTCCTAACACAAAGAAGGCCATATTATTGAGTATATTGTAGTCTCTTCTCAATACAAAACACAGCAGCTACAAATTACAAGTGTATTCTCTTCTAAATATCTGCAGTACCTGAATGAACTGAGCAATAATTTCTAAATATTATCAGAAATTGTAACTTATACATTACTTGCAACAATCAAAAGGAAAAATGTGATTCTTTGACACACAGAAGGTATTGGTATTGACTGAGAATATTGTGGTCTCTTCTCAAAACAAAACACGCCAGCAACAAATTACAAGTGTTTTCTCGTCTAAAGATCTGACTGCTCCGTTAAAAGGTTTTTGACTTTAGCCCAGAGGAGCCCAGATATTGCAGATTGCCTGGCCACATCCGCTCCCACAGAAATCAGTCAATAATAGATGATGTGAGATGGAAGCATTCAGCAGCTTGTTGTGAAAGCTCCACTCAGGCCAAAAGGAAGACCGGAAAGTGCTGTTCCTGCTGTGGTTTTCTCTAATTGTGTGTGTTTACATGATTCAGGCTAAATTTAACCCAATCCAGCGTTGTTAAGCAATTTGTCCCACTGTAAAGCTGCATGCTATCTCTTTCTATTCTAGACCATTCTCTAGGCCTGTAACGATACTTACTACATCACCACATAGTTCAATATACGATAGTGAGAATAACATATTTTGGGGCTTAAAATTTATCGTGGGTAAATTTTCTTTGTAATAGTGGGGAAATTTTGTTGTTTTTGTTGTAATACGGTGAGATATCAGATGCAGAGGGTTGAATAAGTTCCTTTTATGGCTGATTATTTGTACACTCTGCTGTTTATTTGTAAGGGGTGTAATGATATTCATATCTCTCGATACAATATGTTCAGTGATATTTATAGCAATATTTTGTGGAGGCTAACAAAATTGTCAATATGCTACTCTTAACTAAAATTCCTTGACAAGACTTTTGTACTGTCATAATCCAAAGAATTAAGATTTAAAAGTGCTTAATAACAGTTATTTCTTCATAGCCTCCACTGAAAAAGGCTAAGGCAAAGGATCATGGTCTATGTAGTTTCCTCATTTTTTTTTAGCTCATGCTTCACCAAAACAATGAATATAAAGAAAGACACTTGTAATTCAATATATTCTGACAGCCCAGGACATTACTGTGAGACTTTTGGCGATACAGTTTCACAATATTTTGGTTATTGTTACATCCCTACTTACACGACTCATTGTTCAATATATGATAGCTGGAACAACATATTTTGGGGCTTGACATTTATTCTGTTGACATTTTCTTTGCAATAGTGGTGAGATTTTGTTATTTTTGTTGTAATACGATACAATTTGAGCTGTACAGGGTAGAATAAGTCCCTTTTATGCCTGATTAGTGGTACGTTCTGCTATTTATTTGTTGCAGCTTATGGATTTTAATAATACTGTTTATTTAAAAATGGTTTACCGGGATTATGTTGCATTATTTAGTGGCATAAAGTAGTTTCAGTCTTATCGTTTTTCACAATATTTTTCTGTAGCAATATATCATGCTTTAAAATCTGAAAGACCTACTCTTCTCTGATTTATAGGTTTGAAGACATAATACTGTATTTTCAATTAGTACCTGTAAACCATCAATAAAAAATATTATAAGTGTTAGAATTTAAAGGTGCATAGTGTAACTTTTCTGGTGGAGGGTCCATCAAATGCTTTTCTCCATGGAGTTGTTATTGCTTTGCTTTGTGTGGAATATTTCACAGTATGGCATTAAACCTTTTTATCTTCATGGAGACTAAACCAGACCAAGTTACAGGTCAGATCTGTGGAGACGCAACCCCGTCACAGTCAGAATAAATGTTTTTCTGTGTATCTTTGAGCTATAAAGCCACCTGTATTTGAATAACTGCAGAACAAGGTGACGGGTCCTCCCCCAGAAAAGTTACACATTGCAACTTTTTTAAAAATGTTGAAAGCTAGAAAAAAATGTGTTCTAATGCCATGTTTTTTTTCTAGCAACTGCCTGTGCTGGGCTTCTTCTTATGTCCCAAGTCAATTTGAATAAACAATCCCCAATAAAGAGCTATACAAATATTAAAATATAACAAAAGTTGCCGATGTTGCGAAACAGCCTAGGAGGTAGTCACAGGGAACATGCAGGATAATGATGGCTTTAGTGTTTTGAACAACTGTTTCATTCAACTGTTTCATCCATTTTAAACATAATACTGAACCTGTTAAACACAAGGTTATAACTATTTGATTCTTTGGAACCGATAACAAATTAAGGTTAAAAAAGGTGGACTGCACAACTTTTTTGGTGGAGGGTCCGCTACCTACTTGTCTCATTGGAAATATTCTTGCTTTGTCTAGAATGCTACACAGTATAGATTAAGCCTATCACAACCAGGTTACAGCACTACGCTACATTGCAATTAAGATGTGTGGAGAGTCGCCCCTAATCACAGAAGGAGTTATTATATTTTTGAGCAACAGAAACACAAATACCATGCCATGAAACATTCCAGGCAGAGGAATAATATCTCAATGGTGACAAGTAGATCGCGGACCCTCCAGCAGAAAAGTTCCGCAGTGCACCAAGTATTTGTTTAGTGAATTTCTCGTCTATGAGCTGAAATGTTCATTTAAACATCCCCAGTCCTCTTAGTTTTAGAGTGTGAAAGTAGTCTTGGTGAGTGGGTTCAAACAATGAGGATTTCCCTTGCTTTGTGAAGAGGTAACTAATGACACTAATTCAAAACCTGAGTGTGCTGAAATGGGGTCCTTTGTTCTGCCCTCGCTCACCTCTAGCACAGTCTGGGGGCCGTACATGTCCCAGATCTTTCTCCTCCGAACGTCGATGCCTTTTCCAGGATGCTGCAACACAAGATGGCATGCCGCTTCATTGTATAATTTTAAAAATACGTATGACAGGTTTTGACAATTCTCTAATTTTTACTTGAAGGTGCATTGGACTGGTGGAGGGTCTGTCAAATGCTTTTCTTCGTGTAGATAGAAATAGCTTTTTCTGGAATGTTTCACAGTATGATATTAAACCTTTTTATCTTCAAGGAGACTAAACCACACCAAGTTACAGGTCAGATCTGTGGAGAGGCGACCCCTGCAGGTTTTTCCCGGGTATTTCTGAGCTATAAAACCACCTGTATAATCTATGGAATAAATGAAATGCGGAGCTATTTAATGTCACATTCTGGAACATTCCAGGCAGAGCAATAACATATCCATAGAAACAAGCAGTTGACAGACCCCCAACCAAAAAGTTACATAGTGCACTCTTAACTTGGTGGGATAAAGCCTGTTGTAAATATAAACTATATTTTTACACCAATCCAGAAGCAATTTGTGAAGAAAAGTTGAAAAATGTGTTATGTAGAATTTTATTTTAGAGAATTCCACAATGATGACAATACACTAAGGAGAATTCTATCCAAAAATTAAGCATAATTTACACACAAGAAACACATTTTTTCTCATAGTTTAAATATTATTCCAACAAAATGAAGGTGTTTTCTCATATTTTTCAAATATTCATTTTTGTGCACATCAGAGGTGTTCTGGCCTAGTGGTTGCTAGGTAACAGTTATGGAAGTGTGACATCATTATTTCCAACCAAATTCTGAAACCTAAAAAATGGCCAAATTGGGGGGAAAAAGTTAAAAAAATTTTTTTTAGTCAAATGAGTAGTGTAGCCTGTCATAGGCACTTTAAACTTTGCTTTTGATTTGCTAATTAACCAACACAGTACAGTGAATTTAATACACAATAACCCCATGATCCCAATTTTGCTGCTCTAGATGAGATGCAAAAATATACATATTATAGAATTATGATTTCACTTATTTCACATGGTCGGTCAAACATGTCAGTACATTTTTAAACAGGGGGTTAGTTTTAAGTGTGAAATGTTAATCATGTTTTATACGTTTTATAAGATGTGCTTCCTCTTACCCCTTCATTGGCCAGTATGTGCACCAGAAGGCCATTTCCGCAGCCCAGGTCCACAAAGGACTGGGGGTCAGTGAGGTCTTTCTCTGTCCTCTCCTCGGACCACAGCACCTGCACACAGCGTAAACGCTCTTTTGTTCTGTTCAATCACAGCCACAGTGTGACACCTGCTCGCCCACATGGCTCACACTAATTGATTTAGAGGATCCAAGACATTTAACACACTAAAACAGATTGATCTAGCTTCCCCAAACCAAAACATGCACAAACCTATCACATTTATAAATGCTACAGATCCACCAATATGTTTTTTGTTGGGGTTTTTTGGCCGATTTGATGTTTAGACTGTAGAGCAGCCGATGGTCGATAAGCTCTGCCGATATTTTTGGGCTGATTTTGATGATTTACAACAAACTCACCCAATGCACTTTTTCACTATAAACCTATAAGGGAACAGTGTATTTGTGCAGCTATCTCTTCATATTAAAAGTGTTAATATAAAGTTTTGTGTTTATTTTTTAGGCAAATTAACTAAAACAAAATATTGGCCTGTGCTGCAGATTTAAACCCAACATGCTAAAAAGTCCAAATATTGGGGCAATATATCTCTAGAAAATGCCAAATGAAAATCTCTTAAAATCTCAATGTTTAATGTAAACGTGCTTTTGCAAGGGGACTGTATCGTAGTGCACTGAAACATTACTGCTTATATTATTTAGGAATCACATTACACAAAATGTTATTATTAAGATGATTTGAAAAAGGTTGGGGTCATCTCCGTTTTGAATACAGCCTTGCTCTGAGAAAGTTTTGTTTGTATTAAAAATATAAATCGTGTGTAGCATTTACACACCAATAGATATGTTGCAATAGCAACATCTTCATATACAAACTTCTCTGGATCAGTCACTTCTGGCCAAACCTGAAAGAAATTTAAAAATCATTATCATATTGCAAAACTAAAAACATACACGGCTTTAAACCATGTGCTTACCTTAACCATTGCTTTATACTTGTCTTTCAGCTGCTGGTACATAACACTATACTTCTCCACAGGAAGCAGAGACAAGGTGCTTTTGAATTCACTGGTTTTGGATTTAGTTGCCCATCGCACAAGTTTAGGCAGCAGCTCTGAGTTTAGCCAGGGCAGTTTTGGGTAGGCCACACCATCACAAAACCATTCATCTGGGGACAAAACATGGAGCTCCAAAGACCTAAATATCAGAGCAAAGATGTTTAAAAGAAGTCGACCTTCATTATTGATACTTTGCAGTGCCATCACACTGGGGGTGTTCTACATGTAGGCCTGTCTTTATGGTAGAATGTTCAGTAATTACTATGGTGACACAATGTTATAAGAAAAAGGTGAATGACATATTGAAAAACTGATGGCTAGGTAGATTGTGACTGTAACTTGAGAGTAAGAGACTTGTTTACTAACACAAATCAGATCACCTGTTGTTGCTGAGGCTAAATCAGCTCTCTCTGGTCAGATTGTGTTAAAATTAAGATCAGATTAAAATCTAATTTGAGTCACAGCTCTTCAGATTGAGTACTACGTTCAGTTAGCACCACAGCCCCAGGGAATATTGATGACATTAACTGCAAAGTAGTAGTAATAATGTATATAAGAGATGTCTTCTTTCATGATAGCATGTAATTTGGACTGACCACTTCTCATTGTCCTGACCAGTGAGTTTGAACTGATAGATGTTGCTCTGTTTGTAAGACACCTGCCCATCCGTCTCCTCCTCAAATGGAAGAAAGGTCACTTGTGGAAAGCCAAAATCTAAAGAAGAGATGAAAATTGTAACCAGTGGTAGAACATAACAAAGTAAAAGTAATAAAGTATTGTGCTTAAGTATAAATTTTTGTTAATTTACACTTACTACACTGGATACTTTTAACATTGACTTCACTACATGTGAGAGCAGTTAGGCCTATCTACTTTCTGCTCAAAATACTTTTACTTTTTACTCTTTAAATACATTTTTTTTTAAAGGTTAATAGTTTTATTTAAGTAGACTTTTTCATGATACTTTTACTTTAGTATCTGTAAGGAAAATCCCTCAGTCGTCCAGGTTGATTCATGGCAAAAGGAGAAAATTTAATTTGTCAACTGGGCTTTTACTTAAGTAACAAAATAGAGTACTTCTTCCACAACTCACCTTTACTTTTGACGATAGCTTCTTTGTGCTGTTTTGCCCCATAGCAATTCACTTTAGGAATAAAAGTCCTGACATGGTAGCTCCATTCTTCCCCATTCTCGTGTGTCTCTGTGTGACAGCTTTCACTGTGCAAAAAGTTTAGTGCTTCATCTGAAAGGCCAGAGACAAGTGTCCCCAAAGATTTTCTGTCAACATTTTGGCTTTCTGTCTCCTTGACTCCACATAAGCGCTTATTGACAACGTGAGGTTTTCTTATCCACACATCGACAGCGGACCAAAATCCTTCAGGCAGAGTCTTACAATCCGCTGGAAATGATATGTCAAATAATGTGGGCATTATGTTACATCAGGTGCGAGTTAAAGGGAAGTTAACCATGAAAGAAAAGCCTAAATGTGTCGTATTTTCTACAAGATTTGAATGAAAAGAAATCGCATATTTACTCAATGTATTCTAATATTAAGTTAGACCAGTTCAGCAGATTAAACAGAAAATAAACAAAGTAGTAAACCTGAAAAGCCCATTTCAGCACATGTCAGAAGCGGCTAAACCAAAACACAGGCGCTAAATGATGACGCAAACACAAGAGGAGTTTATTTAGTTGTCAGCAGAGGGCGCTGTTGGTCGTTGTCTCGTTGGCCCATGGATATAGTTCTATGGATTTTTTTTTTTTTTTTTTTTTTTTTGGAATCGATGCATGACTGTATTACTGTTGAAGGTCCTATATTACGCAACATTGATTCATTGAATCATGTGAGATTTTGGTCACATTGGAATATTGTTTCCACATCAAAAACATACCCAGAGTTGTGTTTTGTTTCATTAACAACTCCTGAGTATTTCTTTATTAATAGTACTTCTTAATTTCAAGCTCAAAATGCTCTTCCACCTTGTGATGTCACGAAGCAGTGGTTTTCAAGAAACAGCTACCTATTACCTTTTGTTTAGTAGATTTTGACAGTTTCAGAGCTGAAATTGTCCAAATGATTCTAGTGAATACCTGTGGAGTTTAAAAACACAGTGGAGTCCTGTACAACCAAATGACATGACAAGTGTGTCATTTGATAGCGATTTCCGTATAAGAAAATAACTCAGATGAAATATACAGGATTTGCGTGTAAATGTGTACATGTGTGAGTGAAAGAAAACACAACTCCAGGTATATTTGTAAAGAGGAAACAACATTTTAACACAGATCAGAAAATAGCGTATATGGGACCATTAATAAAAGATTCATAAGGGGTGAAAATGCCTTCATTAAATGTGACATTACTTGGACAATGTCTGGTTATACTATAATACAATAAATACTAACTATTTCAGCAATATGCTTCAAAGGTCCACCGTGTAACTTTTCTGGTGTTGGGTCTGCACTCTGAATTATGGAAATGTTATTGTTTTACTTGGAATCTTTGTCCATCTGTCCATGGAGATGGCAAGATACTCCACCAGGCCTAGTTATTGATCATATTTGTGGAGAGGCGAGCTCACTCACAGAAAGATATCATGCTTAAGCATATGATAGATAAAAGTAATGCCATACTGTGGAACAAGATATATCAATAACATTTTAAAAGGAGGTGGAGGACCCAACTCCAGAAAGGTTACATAGTGCAAAATAAGCTCATTAACCCTCTCCAGGCAGGCGTTGCAGATTTGCAACAGCTAAATTCCAATTACCTATTTACTCCACATCCATATTTCAGCTTTTTTTACTCAGGAGCCTTTTCTCCCATCCATGCTGATAAACGTGGACGATGCAGACTGCGCAAGAATGACTACACGCAAACGGCCTGCCAGAAGTGCAAAATACTTTTTTTGTTTACAAAGTATAAAAAAGTCAGGATTGTATATTACTACCCCATATTATAATTTTCCCCAAATATCAGATTTTTCCTGATACTAAAAATTTATTTGAGCCTGAGAGGGTTAATTGTACAAGGTCATCTTTCGTGGTGAGAATTGGAAACTATGCATTGCACCAACTATAGCTCAGTGTGTGTAGGAAGAATCTATAGGGCCCATTTGTGGGTTCTGAAGGACTTTTCACTATCCAGTTGATTTAATATTTGGTTTACTGCAATGTCAATGGCCATAATTTTTTTCTTCTTTTTTTTAAACCCATTCATATAATTTGACCATGGCAGACAAAAATCACTAGATGTAGAGTAAGTGAAGTTGTTTGAGCTATTCATTATTGAACTGGGTGACATAATATATGTTATTTTACTGCTCCTTTGTCTCATTGACACGTTTACAATGCATTTTCCCAGCAGTAATTTATGGCCCATCTTCCCACCTGTAGTTGGACCTGTCTGTCACAGCAGACGACAGAGCTTCCCACACAGAAATCTGACTCTTCACAGTCACAAAGTGAACGACTTAAGAAACATTCAGCCCACACTCTCAAATGTGCTGTTTGACAAATACTGAAAATAATACTCTTGTGTAACCACCCGCCAAGGCTGAATCACAGTTTATGATCAGTTCACATTTTAAACTTTGTGTTTATCTCTCATGATCATATTTTAGTTGTTTTGAGGTTAAATATATTTCATTTCCATGTAGATTATTTTACCTATTGACTTCAGGGACATTTAATACTATAATACGATCAAAATATGTATAAACATATTGGCTGTGAAGGCTATTTCAACCTCATAACTGCTGACTAGTGGAATGAAAGTCAGTAGCAGTAGTAATAGTAATTGTAATGGTAAAAGCAGTAGCAATTGTCATGGCAAGAGTGGTAATATTAGTAGAATTAGTAATACTAGTGGTAGTACCAACATTTTGCATCTGCATCTGATTGTTTGTATTCGTTCCTTATAAATAGTGTTATGTGCAAAAAAAAAAAAAAAATATAATATATATATATATATATATATATATATATATATATATATATATATATATATATATATATATATCGTAATAGTATATTTATAAAAAAGTTGTCTATTTTGTGTATTAATGGGTCTATATTATGATATTTTCAGATCTGTGTTATAATGTCGTTTCCTCATCACAAACAGACCTGGAGTTGTGACTTGTTTCATTCATACACGTTTAATACATAAACCCTGCAATTTAGGATGGATTCTTCTGTCTAACAAAAACACTCCTTGTGATGTCATGTAGTAATACAGGAAGTGATTCACTGTGTTTTTAAACTCCATGCACCTTTCCTAGAATCATTTGGATAATTTCAGCCCTGGAATTTCTGATCTCTACCAAACAAAATGTAAAAGTAGCTGTTAACTTCAAAACTACCACAACATGATGGAGCACTGAGATTTGGAAATGTAGACAGACTAATAATAAAGGGTTATGGATGCATGTGTGAATGAAACACAATTCCTGGCGTGTCTTTGAGGAGGTTGCAACGTTCTAACACAGCTTAAAGCTCACAGGAATCAGTTTTGCATTATATAGGATCTTTAAAGTAGCTACATGTTTCAGCTTGTCAGTACTCCGGGTCAAAATAAGAAGTAATTTGAAACAATAATTATATGATCCTTAAAATCTCACTGAACAATGTCAGCGTTTTTTAATCTGAGTTTTAAATTTCGGACATGAAAGAAGTGTAAAAAGATCTGCAAGGCGTCCCCCTGTCAGCCCCAAGTCCTGCACAGAAAGCCATTGTGTTTGGTGAGTAATTCAGGCTGGCAGGGTGGAGCAGAGTGGAGAGAGATACTAAACCAGGAAGTGCAAAGAGCAAGGAGTATAGGTCCTACACTTAGTTTGTACATTCAAATTTACAGCTGCTGATAGGGCAAAGACAATCTAGTCAAACCTGCCCAGCAACAACAACAAGCAAGCACGAACCACAAGAGACGAACCATTTGAGTCTCTTTATTTCTTGACTCACGCTTGCTCTTGGCAAGTTTCGTCTAAGCCTAAACAAGTAATGGAAATAAATAAACATGATTATTAGTTTCTTATGACTAATGGAGTGACCTAAACATGACCTGCATGTTGTTTTGTTAGGCCTATTACTCTTTGAAATATTTTGGGGATTACGTGTTATGGCCTATAGCTTATTTACAATTATAGTAACATTATGAGGGATTGTCTAAAATTCTATTGAGATATTTCATTATTAGAGTCTGTAATACTGGTGTAGTAGCCTAGAGTTAATAGACTATAAAATATGGGTTACATCAATAGTAGTGAAGTGAGTAGTAGGGCAAAACCTAAGGCACAAAACTGTGACAGAAGTTGTTTGTAATAACCAAAATGAAGTAAACAAAGAAAAATGTGACTACAAATTTATAGCATGAAAACTTTAGTGAGTAACTTTTCATGTGAGCAATTTTTAAAAATATATTATTATGAGTTATTGGCCAAACTGTAGTAGTGAGGGCGCCATTTCATTTATATAAGGCATTCATGGGGGTGACGCTCACGTTTTTATGTAAATCCCATCATGACTGGTCTGGAGCTTCTTTGATGGAGGCTCAGGTGGAGTCAGGAAGAGGCGTGGTCACGTGCGTGAAACTGGAAAAGGGCGGAGTAACGCACACGTCGAAAACACACGCAGGTAGACCACTTATTCGCCTTTGTCGTGAGTCACGGAAGGAAATTCAATCAAAACTCGCGCAACTCTACGAAAAACACACTTGGTGCCTGTAAACGGGATTAGAAGAAGATTTGTTATTGTATAGTGGAAATCAGCGGTAGTCTTTACGCAGCGTCGCTGGAGTTGTCAAAATGGACAGCACCTCCTCTCATTCGGAGTGGAGCTGAAGTTAGTAGGCAAGGAACTAAATCGTTTTCGGTGAGAGGTAAGTGATTTTCTCTTGTTTATACTATTTCGCAGTATTTGGTAAAAATCAGTTTTGTAGAATGCTGTGCTACATTATTATGCCGAAGGAAAAACGAAAAACAAGCAATTATGGCATATTCACTAATGTGGAGCCTAATTAGTTGTAGCGTGAAGGCTAAGCAAAAGAAATGTACGCATGATTTTCCCCCTCCACCTGTTTTAATTGGCCCACACAACAGACTTTTTTAAGACATCCACCATTTATTCCACTGAAATAAGCTTGAAAGAGTTTATTAGACTATTGCATTATACACTGGTTTGCTCAAGGAAACTTTTGGGTTTCATCTAGTATTCTGATTTTATGATTAAGATAAGATTTTGTGTTCTATTTATAGTTTGTCTATTCATGGTGGCATTTAACTAAAATTATGCTTACAACTGGGCCTATTCTTTTAGCATTACTGTAAGAACAGAGTTTGGCTTCAAATAATTGTGACTATGAAACAAAGAATGACATTGCACCTCTACTTTAAATGTTGAAATAGCTGCATTGAAAAAAAGAAATAACCTTTGCTTTGCTGTAGTCACTTGATTGCATCTTTAGGTGTAAACTGATCTTTACTGTGGTGGGAGTGCTGGTTTAAAAGGTGCATTGTGTAACTTTTCTGGTGGAAGGTCCATCAAGTGCTTGTCTCCATGGAGATGATAATACTTTGTCTAGAATGTTTCACAGTATGATATTAAACCTTTCTATCTTCATGAAGACCAAACCAGACCAAGTTACAGGTCAGATCTGTGGAGGGGTAACCCTGCTCACAGTCAGAATGTCTGTTTTTCTAGGTATTTTTGAGCTATGAATCCACCTGTAACTGAAGATATGTTAGATAGATCTGTTTAATGTCATACTGTGGAAAATTCCAGGCGGATCAATGGTACATCCATAGAAACAAGCATTTGATGGACTCCCCAGCCCAAAAGCTCCATAGTACACCTTTAAATGCTGAATAATATTTTTTTAAAACCTTTGCATTCATGTAGTCATTTGATAGCATATTGCAGGCATAAACAGACCTTCACTGTGGTGGGAGTGCTGTCTTAAGTAAATACAACAGCCCTCTTTAAACTATTCAATGCTAAAAGCCTTGCCTAAACTCATTTACTCAGTTGAACCTTGAAAGTCACACATGCCATTTGGCTGAGGGAGTACTTTCAGTAGCAGACTGGGTTAAAAATTCATCAGAATGTACACAAAGACAACACAAGGGTCCCTCTGTCAACCCTGATCTCCAGTGTTTTCATTTTTGACCCTCCTTTTCGTATTATCAACATGGGACTAGAATAACAGTAACCAGGGAGGTGTCCGGAACCTCATTACAAGCCTGGGCTAGCACGCTGTTGAACTCCTTATTAACTCAAAAACATCTATTATGTGATTAGCAGATTGGTGCAGGTGAATCTTCATTGACATGTGCTTAGTTCAGTGTTAATTTTTACCAGAGTAGTTGATGGGAATGCTGAAGGTCCTCTTTGAATCATAACTTCTAACCTCTGATAAGAGAGTAGTTTTATAGCGTACAGTTCAACCCATAATGACAATATACAATCTTAACAATGTGACAGACGTACTTTCAATTTTACTTTGCAGTTTCTAGGTAAGTAATGTTGATATTATCAGGAAAAATGGTATTTTCCTGTTTAGCATCCGTGGTTACATAAATACTGTGTGGACAAAATCCGGTTGAACTAGTGGGCCAAACAACCAATGAGATAAAGTTTCTACCTCAAGCATTTTTAGACAGCACATTCCCTGGAGCACAAAGCCTGGTTCAAAATTACTAGACTGCGTGAGTGTTGAATAGAGCGCCCACTTGTGTCTTTTGTTCTTAAAGTTCTTAAACTGTTCTCTTTAAATATAATACACCAACATTACACAGTTACATTGCAAAGTGCTTTTTATCTTTTAGTTATTATCATCATGTTTATTCTTATGGTACATCTGAAGGAGTTATTAATAGTTGGCGCCAGATGATAAATGAGGAAAGATCCCCCATTGGACTAAAACACTAAGGGCTTTTTGTGGGTCACCATGGTAACCTAACAAAGCTGAGCGGGAGTGAGCTTTAATTACATGAACAAAGACCTGTACAACACTGATGGTGTTGTGTCTTCAGACAGGGATAGCAATTTTTGGCTAAGCTGTGGATTTGAGTAAAGAACCTATACTATAAATTTCACAGCTTTACAAAGGCAAAAATACACTGCAACAATTGTAACCTTTGCCCTGTCACCACAGGCAGGGGCGGACCTGCCAGGCGGGACATGCTGATGGACCAGGACACACAGTGGCTGTACCAGCTCCTGGCTGAGGTGCAGTTGGAGAAGTTCTACCTTCGGGTCCGAGATGGTCTTAACATCACACGCATTGAGCACTTCGCCTATGTCAAGGAGGGAGACTTGGAGCACATTGGCATCAGCAAACCTGGTCAGTAGCTTTCATCCAGTCTGGAAAAAGATTCAGCTTTTTTTATGCAGTAATTCAGTTCTGTCTTGAGAGAGATATCAGAAAACTGCAAAAGTTATAGTTTTTGTTGACTTAGGCAAACTTTATTACACTTGTATTGTAAAATAGAGTCCATAACAGATAAATAAATTAATGTAGGCATCCATAACAAGTATATCTAGATATAATATATACACTTAGCTGAGTATTATTTGTGTGCATGATTGTGAATTGTTTGCTTTGCCTTTCAAAAAGCACAAAGAAGATTATGGGATGCTCTGAAACGCCATAAAGCGTCACGGTCTCGACCATGGACGAAGGTACGCTACATTTTTAACTTATTTTATAATCCACCTTTATTTCTATAGCACATAATGATGAATATTCAAAAGTTCCTTTGTGATCTCATTAACTACAGGTGTTCAGTGGTCGTGAAGGAGATGCGTCTCCAGGTCCAAACCAGGAGGGCTCAGGCAGCAGGATGTTCCCGTCTCTAATCCAGGACAGTGAGCTGGTCCTAGCGGAGAAACTGGGCTCAGGATCCTTCGGGGTGGTGCGAAGGGGGGAGTGGCACACCCCAAATGGGAGAGTGGTAAGAGATTTGATTCACATTATTTTCTCTACTTGGTTTAAAATTTGACTTTCTGGTTGGAAATTGTATACACAGAAATTGTTATCTGACAAATATAAGAAAACACATTTATTTTGTTGAAATCATGTTTAAAGTGTCAGAAAAACAAAGTGTGCTGTGTATTAGTTACACGCTGTTATTTTTCTAAATTGAGTTCATCTTAATATGACAATCAGTAAATTTATGCAGCATTTATTTCTCATCATCGAGTTCTTTGCTATTCTTTGCTGTACATACAAGGGTTTTACTGCCAGGTTTAACATTTCTTGAAACAATCCATGCTCACTTTGTAATAGTGTTTATTTGTAATACTGTTTATTGTTACTTGTTTCAGTTACCTGTAGCTGTCAAATCTCTTAAAAATAGCCGATCGGCACAAACTGACACACTGGCAGACTTCCTTCAAGAAGTGTCCACTATGCAGTCATTAGACCACCCCAACATCATAAGATTGTATGGAGTGGTTATCACACAGCCTTTGAAGATGGTAAGATACTTTGAATTGAGATCCTGTGTTACGCAAAATTGACTCTTGAGCTTTAAGCCATGTTATAATGTTGTTACCTCATCAAACACATACCTGGAGTTGTGTCTTGTTTCATTCACACACCCTTAATTATTAGTTTGTCCTCATATTTAATTAAATTCAATTCAAGTTTATTTATATAGCACATTTAAAACAACTTCAGTTGACCAAAGTGCTTCACATACAAGTCAACAACAACAACATAGAAGAAACAGTTACATATACATATATACAGAAAACATGTTAAAACTACAATAAAAACACCAAGATAACCTGACTAGCTCGTACTAAATGCCAGGGAGAAGAGGTGAGTTTTCAGTCTCGCCTTAAACTGCACTACAGACTGAGAGGATCTGATAGCAAGAGGAAGGCAGGTCCATAATCTGGGCGCTGCCACAGAAAAAGCTCTGTCACCTCTTGTCTTGAGCCGAGTTTTGGGTACGACCAACAGGAGCTGGTCGGCTGATCTCAGGGCTCTGGGCGGAGTATAGGGCTGCAGTAACTCCCTCAAGTAGACTGGACCCATGGAATCTTGAAAGTTCAAAATACTCTGTTCCACCTTGTGATGTCATATAGTTGTAGTTTTCAAGTTAACAGCTTCTTTTACCTTTAGTTCAGTAGAAAACACAGTGGAGCACTTCCTGTATTGCCATGTGACATCACAAAGTGGAACAGAGTGTTTTATTTAACTTCTTTTTAAAGACAATGCAGTAAAGTGTATTTACTTTGTTGACATGTACCATGTTGACAAGGTAAATACACTTTACTGCATTGTCTTTAAAAAGAACCCAAGAAGTTAAAGTATACAGTATAAGAAGACAAAATGAACATCTTTGGCTTAATAAGAGTGTTTTCTGTTTGAAAGATGAACTCTGCCTAAATATGCAGGTTTGTGTGTTAAACATGTGTGCATGAAACAAAACACAACTCCGGGTATGTTTGTGATGAGGAAACAACATTATAACCGATCAGAAAATAGTATAATATAAGCCCTTTAAAATGTATCTTGTTTCATTTATCCAGACATTTTTATTCTTTGTAGGTGACTGAACTCGCTCCTATGGGTTCCCTCTATGACACCTTGCGTGCTCGTCAATATGAATACCCCCTTCTGCGACTTTGGCTGTTTGCGACTCAGATTGCAGCTGGCATGGACTATCTGGAATGCCGAAGATACATTCACCGAGATCTGGCTGCAAGAAATGTCCTACTGTCTTCCAGAGAGGTGGTTAAAATTGGGGACTTTGGTCTGATGAGGGGACTGAACCAGGAAGCAGACCACTATGTGATGTCAGCCCACAGGCGCATCCCATTTGCATGGTGAGAACGGAGAGCAGCTCAACCTGAAATTAAATCATACTGACACCTATTGTCGATCAGCACATATACTGAGGAGCAAGTGAACTTTTTAAAGAATGAAAAGAAAGGTACTTTATTGGCCTCGGAGGGAAATGTGTCCTCTGCATTTGACCCATCCTTCTGTGTCACTGGAGCATCTCCTCAGGAGCAGTGGGCAGCATGTGGTGCACCCAAAGACCCCTCTCCATGATCTACTTGCTAGGCTTGATCAGGAATACCTTAGCTGGAAGATTTTACCTATGGTGCATGTTTTAGGTCTATGAGAGAAACCGGAATGTCCGGAGGAAACCCACCCAGACACAGGGAGAACATGCAAACTCCACACAGAAAGACCCAAAACATTCTTGATGTATTAGATCCAAATTGAAAATATTTAGACAGGGGTGCATCAATCAAAAGTGGTCCAATGAAGGAACTGCTGTAAACCAGTTATAGGCAATGTATATTAACAGGTTTCATCTTGCTGTTTATAGGTGACATTTTGAGGACTTTTAAAAGATTTAGCTTTTTAAAAAAAATGTTAATTGCTATAGCAACGGTACTAGTTTTCCATCACTCTGCAACCCATGGATAGGAAGTGGTGTTCAACCTAGAAAGGCAGGCCAGTGTTGATCTAATTGCTTATGTTACAACTCTCTTTAACTGGAAGATGTCAAAAAAACTTTTAAAATCTGCTGTATTTGAGGCAGGACATAATGCCTGACTGATTGTGATATCATTTTAAAACTTCTTTCTATTCTGTGCAGGTGCGCTCCAGAGAGTTTGCGTGTGGGCTCCTTCTCCCACTCCTCTGACGTGTGGATGTTTGGCGTCACTTTGTGGGAGATGTTCACATACTGCGAGGAGCCCTGGTTTGGCCTGTCAGGCAGACAGGTACGCGCTTGTCTAGTTACTGTCAGATTTCTCACTACTGTGACTGTGTTTCTCAGTTTGTGCTTGCACCATTGAGCACTTTCACGTCATGTCAGGAATGTACCTCCACACCCAAATGTCTTTTATGAGTAATGACTAATGTGTGTTTAATATTTACTTTGTTGTAGATCCTGTGGCGTGTAGAGCGAGAGGGGGAGAGATTAGAAAAACCAGCAGACTGTCCACAAGAGATGTACATTGTGATGAGAAAGTGCTGGGCTGTCAATCCTTCTGATAGACCCAATTTTGCTCAGCTTTGCACATTAGTGGCAGAGGTCAGTCCAAGACAAATAAACTATTCTTTTTAATATTTTTTATAATGAATAAATACTATTAAAATGTCCATGTTCACAGGCTAAACCAATGGAAGTACAGGCAGCAAGGGAGTTTTGTGAACCCAGAAAGCTTGAACTTTTACCCAATGACTTGGTGACTGTCATTGATCATGGGTGAGTGACAGGGGAGATCCTGATTTGGGACAGTGGGGCATTGTTGGGATGAAAATGGTTTAATCAAGTTAATTAGTGACTACATTCCCCAAAGGATTGGGAATAGCTTTTAGATCTAGATCTCTATGGGAATAATATAATGTTGTGTTTTTTGGTCTGTGTTTGCATTTTGCTCATCATTACAGAAGTGCATGTAGACCAATCCAAAACAAAATGCATGTGATGCTAGTGATGGGGCAAGAAATAGTCTCAATCAGGTTTAATACAGGGCTGAATAAGTGGCATTAAAACAAATTACCTGGGAGCAGCTGATCAAAATATTTCACCTGACTGGTTCATTAGCAATTATTATTTACTTATTTACTACTTACGTACTTTTAGATTCATAGTGCAGTCAATCCTTAAAACCCCCATTGTGTGTGTTTTTTCAGTCTGGATATGACCGAATGGAAAGGTCAGAACCAGCGGACTCTGAGCGTTGGTTGGTTTCCCGCCATTCTTATCATGCCTCCGCCTCCACCTGCTGCTGCTGCTATTCCCATCCCCGTCTCCATCCCAGTCCCAAGCTCGCCCTTCATCTCGCCACCCGTGAAGGGGAGTCTGCACCATACGGGACATAGGGACATTAAACCAGACCAGAGCTGGGGCTCACCCGAGGACATGTGAGTGACAGTCAAGCCCTAAATTACACCATTATAAGAAGTGTGTTGTCAGAGCAACAGTAAAAGAGTGAAAGGTTTTCTATAATTATGTTGTCATCTGTTGCAGTGGCTGGAGACCTGGGCCTGAAAGGGAAAAGGAAGGCTCCAATTTGCAGAAAATGGCAGGTATGAGCCTACAAGTAATGTTTATGTACAGTTTATGTACCACATCCCAGACAAAAGAGCTAGAGAATGAAGAAATTAAGTCAGTTAAGTTTTATACCAAAATAAATATTTACTTACTTTTTTTCTTCTCTTTGAATAAACTGTGGACATTTTTTTAATGTTCATAACAGGGACTTTCTCTTTGTACTAGTGGTTATTTTGCTCTTCAATGATTAGATGTGAGCTGTAGAAGTTTGAATTATGAATTTATGTGACTCATTATAGAGACAAACTAACTACTTAACTGTTGCATTCTCTTCATTTATTTATTGCAACTCATATTTTTTACAATATTGTACATTTTAAAATGCCTACAATTAGCTTTATGGTTTTTTTTCAGTGTTATGGTTTATAGTCTTTATTTACTAGAGCAATATATCGCATTTCACAATTTGACTTAATTACTTTGACCAGATTTAGACAAACTTTATTGATCCACAAGGGAAATTATTTGGACACAGCACACACATCACAATATATAATAATAATAATAAAGAGCAACAATATAAATTGTAACAATAAATTCAAAAATAAATAACAAAAAAAGCAAAAGACGCGTCAAATAAGGCATAGTTATGTGTATATGTACATGCAATAAAATATAGTATATCAGTAGGAGAAATAGTACAGACATTAAATAATTGATTGATGATGATTAAAAAATCATGACAAAGCAACTGTGGTACTAAACTAAATTACTGATTCTTTTGTCCACAGGTTTGTCTCTGTCTCTGGAGTCTGTCCTTGGTGGGGGACGTCCCAGAGCTAATACAGTGGGAATGGTCCGAGTGGATGCACATGGAAAACTCATGCCTCCCGAGATGGCTGCGCGCAGTGTGGTGACCCCCCAGGACCCCCGGCGATTCAGCGAGGCCAGCATTATCCCCCCTCCGCGCCCTCCTCCTCCAAACCTCAAACGTCTAAACATGAAACCCCACCAGAGACGCCCCAATATCCAGCAGATACCACAGAGTTCGTGGCCTCCCCCTGGCGTATTGTCCCCCCCACCACAGCAGCCCCCGCCTCAGCCATTCACAGGGGGCGGCAACCTGGTCAAAATGGCGCACATGGCTCGCTCCACGCCTCAGCTGGATGACTGTGACAGCAAAGAGAGGGAGAGGCCGAGAGATAAAGCACCTCATGTCTACAGCACCAAGGATACAATCATTGCACAGGTACAGTAAAGTTGTTTTTATAATTCTTTTGTTAGTTTTTGGAACTTTACATTTTATTTGTGAAACCAAGCCACATGTTCAATTTTATAAACAAAAAACGTGTCCAGAGTGCTGCACAATACAAATATACTAGTACAATGAAACTCTATGGGGCTAAACAGTGACCATTCTAATTTCACATAAATTTTTATCATAGAATTTCAGTCGAATAAAAATAATATTAAAGGTGCAAAAGCTTGCTTAAGGATAATCAAATACATGTTATCTAATGACCACAAGACCTATAATTTTACTCTGTTTCTGAAATTGTATAAACCGTGAAGTCCGCATTTAGCAGAATCTTGTGTTTTAAATGGCCTTTTTGGTTCTAAAACAACAGTGTTATGGATTTAAGTTATCACGTAGATGTTTAGCCTCTGTGATGTCTTTGAATTCTTAAATTTTTTGAGAAATCTATGGGAAAAAGGACTGGAAAATTTAGTTAAATGGAAAAGTTTGAGCACCATTCAACTCACACAGAGACTAGTCCTTTCTAAACCAACTGAACTTGTAACATCAAATAGGAGCCAAAGTAACAATAAATAAAAAGGTAAAACTATAAAAAAATAAATAAATAAATGTGACACATGGACGATGACGATGATGATGATGCACAGGTGATGGAGGCGGTTCATGGCGTGACGACAGAAGAGGTCCACAGCGCGCTGCAAAGATGTGACTGGAACCCAATAAGAGCTGAGCAGCATCTGAAGGTAAGCAACGATTTACCTTTTTGATTTCACTCTAAATTATTAGTTAAAGCTGCACTGCGCAACTTTTCTGGTGGACCTACTTGTTTCCATGGAGATGTTGTTTTGTTTGGAATGTTCCATGGTATGACATTAAACATATCCATCTAGCATTTATTCATTACGAGTGTTTCTCTTTCTCAAAAATATAAAAATTCCTTCTGTGAATAGGGGTGACTCTCCACAGATCTGAATTATAATGTAGTGTAGTGCTGTAACCTGCTTGTCTCCATGGTAATATATAGGTTTTATCTATACTGTGGAACATTCTAGACAAAGCAATAACAATTCCATGGTGAAAAACAGGTGGCGGACCATCCACTAGAAATGTTACACAGTGCACCTTTTAAACAAGTCAAGCATGGTTACAACAAGTAATCTGTGGTTGGAAAGGTAGATTAAAGAAAAAACAATTATGAGGTGTGTTCGAGCATTATCAAACAAATAAGGAACGCACTGATTAACAAAGGGACAAAACGCAATTGAAATGATATCATCAAAAAGTGTTTGATTGATTGAATTACTTCATCTATCTTTATTTATAGAACACTTTTCAACATTCAAGTGCCTTCCAATAAAATCAACACAATATAAAAACATTTCACATTTTGTTTTTATTTCACTGTTTGGAGTGTTGAAAGCCAGTCTGAATAGATGGATTTTGAGCCTGCATTTAAATAGGCCAAAGTTTGTGATAGTGGCATATGAGGGGGCAGTTTGTTCCAGAGTCTGGGGCCAGCATCAGAGAAAACCTGATGACCCTAGTGTTTGAGACTTGCTGCAGAAATTGGTTGATTGGTCGACCTTGAGGCCCAGTTTGAGCAATGCCATTAATTGAGTAGTTAATTTTGACACTTGAAATCATTATGTAACCCCCCCCCACCATTTTAGAAAATGCAAAAAAATTGACACAATGCATAATCACAAAATGTAATTTAACTTTTCCATTATGTTTTATTTATCTCCTATGAACCTCTGTTTTGCTCTTCAAAACCACAAGAGCCATCAAAATTAACTAATTTTCTGTTCAGTACATTAAATGGTCCATATTAAACTATTTTCTGATCTATGTTATAATGTTGTTTTCTCATTCACATATGCTTAAAGGTTGTATAGAGGATTTTCCAAGGAACGAGAAATCCAGCGACTGTTTGTCCTTTTTCAAATGTTGCGCATGCGTGAAACCACCCCCCCTCCCCTACAGCTCCCTACGTAGAAACGCCTCTTCCCGCCTCCTCCTTACGCCAGAAACAGGTTTGTTTACAGCCGGTGCGCTGCACATGACTTGTAAACAACTAACTACAGTGTTGGTTAGGCAAGGCGGAGAAGTGAGGAGCGGGGGGAGCGGGTGCGCGGACGAGAAGTGAGGAGCAGGGAAAGAGGAGAGGAGAGAGGAGAGGGGGAGCGGTGCGCGGAGATTCTGTGCCCGGAGAAGTGAGGAGCAGGGGAAAGAGCGGAACGGGCAGCGGGGACAGGAGCAGGAAAGGGTGCAGAGAAGGTTGTGCGGAGATTCAGTGCGAATGAACTATCTACAACACGCAGCAGCAAGCGGACTCTTTCTTTGCCTTGAAAATTACGTTTTCAGACATAGGATATCGCTTTCGTGTCCTGAAAAACGTTTGTCTAGCTCTTGGAAATAAAGTACGTTTTCATAATAAGCAGAAGTGACCTGTCCAGGAGTAATTTGGCGACCAATGCGTCAGTCTTTAGATCCTGCGTCTGCTTCAGTTGCGCCATCGCTGGAATGAATCTTCAAAAATCACCTTAGTTTGGCTTCGCTGCTTTTCCCCTTGTCTTCTTCTTTCAGCAATCTCAAAAACGGACTTTCTTTTGCGGCTAACTGCTCCTGGATTCTTGTCTGCCATTGCAACAAACTTTGTGCGAACTGCGAGGAAGATATAGGTCAAAAAAAGCCGCTAAGAACTGTTGCGTTGGTGGAGTAAACAGCGTCTGTGCGTCTTGCGTCTGTGGACTGCGTGACAGGTGTACGTAAACCATGTACCGGCGGCGCGCAGGCAAGTCAGTTACGCTAGAAACGTAGGGAGATTGATTGACAGCCTGTCAGCTCACAGATAACGAGGCAATGTCGTTATCTATTGGCAAATGTTTAGCTGGCCCCACCACGTCCAGAGTTGATGAATTTTTATTCTCTTTTTTTTGGTCATCATAATTACAAGGCTACTGCATCTCTATAATGCTATCATTGACAATTTGAAACAAAAACTTTAACACACAAACCCTGCATATTTAGGCTGTTTTCTCTCTCTGTTCTACCTTGTGATGTCATGTGGTAATACAGAAAGTGCTCCACTGTGTTTAAATGCCATACACCTTCACTGGAATGACAATTCCAGGACCGAAATCATCCAAATAATTCAATCTCTATTGAACAAAGGTCAAAAGGAGCTGTTAATTTGAAAACTACAGCTTCATGACATCACAAAATGGAATAGAGTCTTTTGAGTTTTGGGAATGCAGACAAACTAATAATAAAGGATTACTCAAACATGTGAATAAAACAAAACACAACTCCATGTATGTTTTTGATAAGGTTACAATATTCTGACATGCCTTAAAGCTCACAAGAGTCAATTTTGAGTAATACGGGACCTTTAAAAGCTAATGTAGTATTTTGTTCTTTTCCCCCCTCTTCAGTTGGAGCAGCTCTACTCGCTCAGCCTGTGCTCCAGAGAAGACTGTGTGAGGATCCTATCTAAATACCAATGGAACCTACAGCTGGCCAGTCGATACCTACTCCGATGGTCTCGGGAAGACAGGCCAGGCCCTAGTGAGCGTGACCGGCCTCAGATTAGCGCAGAGAGACGAGTGTGAATGAGTGAAGCTGGTTCGTCCTTTTTGGCTGACTGGCTCAGAAGAGATAGTTTCTTTTTTTCACAGAACACTGGTTTGAAATGGTGCAGGCCTCAACACTGTGAATGTACATTAGAGGACAATGAAGTGTAAAAATGATTGATTAGTTACATTCTGTTTATTCTGTTTTTATACTTTTAAAGATTATAACACTCACGTTTTACACCTGTATATATTCTAATTAATGTATATGAATAAATTTAACTTTATCTTAAATTATGGGCAGTGTTTTGGCTGTGTAATTCGTTGCACTATAGTACCAACTATTTTACTGCGGTAATCCCAAGATGTTTTTCAATATCAATTGAAAACACAGTATTTTACACATTGTATGGCTGTGAAGTCGGATAACATCGTCTTGGATCCTGATTGAATTACCATAATGTGGACATGTGGACATGTACGGACATGCCAGTGAAGCCAATGACTCCGTACTCTTCCCTTTGTCTCCAGTAGGTGGAGCAAGAGGCAAGGATTTCAAAAAGATCCCAGAGATGATTTTTTTTTTTTTAAACCACATTTTAACTAAAATGTATTTTTTTCTTTTACATATATTTATTATTTAAATATATTTGGAATGAAGCTGTGAATGGCCTTAACATTCACCCATAAAAGAGGAAGGAAGGATTTCTTTGTGGTTCATTTAAGTGAAAACAGATGTTGCATAGACTGGAGGTTTCCTTGGGCAATCTCCAAAATTTTCCAGCACTTCTGTCACTGTACCAAAGAAACACAACAATGGAATATTGCGATACTTTTATTTCTAAGATCACATTTTACATGTAAAGTAATTTGAACCATCCAAAAAAAGACACAAAACAGCAGACTATATGAACTGCATATTAACACAAACATTTAAACAGAGTGAATAATATTTCTAAATATTGGCTTGTTTAGGTATTGGTTTGGAGGTAAGAGTTTTTAAGTGGCAATAGTGTAATACATGTTAAGACAGACAGATGACTTCAGACTTCAGTCAAAGGCACTTAATTCACAACACATGTTCTGAAAATGGTTCAAACTGGCCTACTAAACCTGTAATATTTTAAGTTTTTTCATCATGCTTTAACTAATATTTATGGATGGCAACCCAGTGTCAAACCACAACTTCCGTGTTTCAACATGATTTTCTCCCATACAAGATTATGATCAAGAATGCTAAATCTATACTTGCTCATTGCATGTTTCTCTTTTGGACGGTCAAAGTTAAGTCTCTGCAATAAAGTAACCGTGACACCCAGTGAGAATTTACATTGAGAGTCAGAGAAAAAAATATATTTGTAAACACTGTTACTAAGTGCACTGCCACAGACTTAACATCCTCTTATTCTTTTCACTTGTAGCCGCCATATTATAATGCCTCCCCCTGCTCTTATGTTAGTAGTACACATATAGTTATTACAGTTTCAACATTACAGGTCAGTATTGTACCAAGAACATTAGTATACTAACAGATAGGCACAAGCATTATACTCTGAAATAACAATAGGTTAAACTCTTATATACATTTTGACATTGCTCCCATTTCTGCAGGCACAAAATGTTTGAAAGGAAACAAAAAAATCTGCTTAATGAAATTTGATAGATATACATAGTAGTGTGCAAACGTTTAATCAAGATTACAGTCAATATATACTCTAAAAACAGAGGAAGACAAGCTTGCTAAAACTCAAAATTGTATTTAGTGAGTTTAGTTTAAAGGTGCACTGCATAACATTTCTAGTGAAGGGTCAGCACACCTGATGTCTCCATGGAAATGTTATTGCTTTGTCTAGAATGTTCCACTATATTGATTAAACCTACCTATCAGAACTGAACATTACAGTTCAGACCTGTGGTGAGTCGCCCCTATTCACAGAAGGAATTATTGTGTTTTTGAGCAATAAAAAACACTTGTGAATAAATGGTGGATGAATATGTTTAAAGTCATACCATGGAACATCCAGACAAAGCAATAACATCTCCATGGAGATTTGGTCTTTGGACAATTACCTAAAAGCCAATATGAAAATCTAGTCAAGCTTTCTTAGAAAATAGGATTTTAGTAGATTGTTAAAACATTTGCACAGTCCTGCTACTGCAAATATGCATGTATTTGGTTGAAGCTTGGTCTATGAGAGACTCTTTGTTACTGTGATTGATTAAAAAAATAAGGATTTACTTTGGTAGGAGTCTGTAAAAAAGAAGGAAACACAACCCGAAAGTCCGAGCTCCCATGTTGTGGCCTGTTCTTCTATGAAAATACAGTGCTGCGTTGGTTTGCCTCGCCAACCTTCTCAAAGAACATGAAATCCTGTTAAGACAGAAAAAAACACAGTTAGTGGATCACTGGAATAACATGAAGCAGAATAATTAGTTTAAACTATCAATTTACAATGAGGAAGCAGGCGCCCATCAGCACGGCCTTCATCTTTACATCCAAGTCCATGGGAAACTGGATGCCAAAGTTGTCTGTATCAGTGAAGACTTCCTTTAAGAGGCCACTCCACTGCTTACTGATGCGACCAATGCTGTGGTCTCCATCTTTTCCTTTTAACTGGAAGACAAGAGGAGAGAGTTTAGAATTATTTCAGATGCAAACAGTGCAAATACTCGGCCTGTCAAATCAACTTATTGTTCAATATATGAAGGAACAATATTTTCTGGACTCAGTATTTATTGTGTGTACATTTTCTTTGCACTGCTGGAAGATTTTTTTGTTTGTTTAGTTTTATTTCTGGCTATATAAGATTTAAGCCATAAAAGTTTGAATTAAAGACTTCTATGACTCAGACTATTACAGATGTAAATGAAGTGTTTCAATCTGCTATGTATTTATTGCAGCTCATGTTTTTAACAGTATTGTAGATTTAGAATCATTTGTGGTTTAAATTTGCTCTTGGGTTATAGTGTCAGGGGCATAAATTTGTTTCAATATTATCATTTATCATCTATATTTACTTTGTATTGTATTGCACTTCAAATTTCGTTACAGTGACAGGCCTAGCAAGTATTATATTTCAAAATGTACCTCAAAGTTGACATCTCCACAGCAGTTGCAGGCAAAGCAGGGCCCCTCTAGTCTTAATAGGGTCTCTTTATTGGGGCCCTGAATGGAAAATTTGGGCAGGCAGGGGTGCCAGTCCTGTTTGACATAGCCTACTGTGGTGCCAGGTGGGGCTTGGACCTCCATCTAAAAACAGTTATCAGAATATACAGAAGTTATATAACAGTAATGGGACAAAAGCTTTACATGTTTTACTTAGACTTACATTAGACAAACTTTATTGATTCACACGGGAAATTATTTGGACACGGTAGCTCACAGATCACAATATTTTATAATAAAGAGCAAAAATATCAATAGTAATAATAATTTCAAAGTAAATAGTAAAAATAACAAGAGACTGTAGATTTTTTTTCTAGTTACAAAAGAGTTTATAAAGGCTTAACTAGTATTTACTTTTAAACTTAAAGATCTTTAAACCTGTACCTTTCTTTATCATCTGCTACATTTTATTTATTTAAAAGGTGCACTATTTAATTTTTTGGTTGGGGGTCAGTCACCTGCTTATTTCTAGGGGTATGTCATTGCTCTGACTGAAATGTTCCACAGTTTGACGTTATGTATGACAATTACAGCTGGTTTTATAGCTCAGAAATACCTAAAAAAAAAAACATGCATTCTGACTACACCATGCACCTTTAAAACAAAAAACTGACTTAAAAATCATAATACTGATAAACAAAATTAACTAAATAACTATAAATAAACTGTCATGAGTTACAGGTCACATGGTCTGTCAGGAATGAAAAGTATAGGTGATTCATTGTGGTGTGGCATAACAAAGGTAATGTGTCTCACATGGCTCCTGTCAGTGCAGGGAGAGGCTGCAGCCCTCGAAAACCCAGTGTGAGATGAAAAGGAGGAGAAAGACTATGGAGCTACTAGAAGGCTAACTGATTCAAACTAACAACATACCAGTATTTAAAGCGACCATTTGTAATTAGTTTGACCAAACTTTTCTGGTGGAGGGTTCACTACCTACTTGTCTTCATGGAGATGTTATTGCTTTGCCAGGAATGTTTCCTGGTATGATTTTAAACAGTTTCATTTAGCATTTATGTGTGTTTCTGTTGTTCAAAAATACAATAATTCCTTCTGTGAATAGGGGAGACTCTCCACAGATCTGAATTGTAATGTATCGTAGTGCTGTAACCTGCTTGTCTCCGTAGTGATAGATAGGTTTGATCTATACTGTGGAACTTTTTAGACAAAGCAATTACATTTCCATGGAAACAAGCAGGTGGTGGACCCTCCACTAGAAATGTTGCTCAGGTCATTATTGTTTTACTCAATAAAGACCAATATTGGCAATAGGTATTTTAGACTATTAGTTATTTATATTTGCCTTTTGTTTGACATACTGGGTATCTACCACAGAGTGTTGAAAAAGTTACTATGAAATCTCATCCCAGATAATTTATATAAAATATGTATTTTGCTTATAGAAATAATACATTTTAATATTACCAGTGTTTATTTTTTTCTAGACAATAATTAACACTGCATGTTTAAAAATTGTCTTGTGTACAGTGTGAATTCGGAAAACTGAACACTTACATTTTCCTGTATTTATCTCAATGTATATCTCAGGTAACCTAAACTAGGTATTGTTTCAGTACACCAGGGTTAAATTGTGTGTTATTGCGACATAAGATGCTGCAAAACCATGTACGTAATAAAGAATGATTATGCTATATAAATGTAAGTGTACAAAGGAAATATTGATTAAAAGGAACCCTGCTAAAGGCTATAGTATGAACTGTAACAAAGAGCCTGAGTTAATGATTCACAGATATAGACAACATTAGTAATATTTACAATGGTTCATGTATTAATGAGCACTTGACCACGACCTTTAACATGTTACTCTGACCTCTTGTAGGCAGCAGGGACACCAGCAGGACACACAGCGAAAAGGCCGGATCAGGCGGATCACTTCTCGATCCATATTGTCTTTGATTTTCATGTCAAAGCTTCGCAGAGAGCCACAGCAGTTCCTGGTGCAGCAGTCGTTCTTCTCTTTGGCCTTGTAGATCTTTTGGCCCAAACTATTCTTTATCTCGTATTGATTATTGGTTTCAAAGCCAATAAAAGCTGGGTGAGCACACAGATAATACAGAAGAACAATGAATCATGTTAAAGTGTAATTTTTTGGTTGGGGGTCCGTCACCTACTTGTTTCTATGGATATGTCATTGCTCTGCCTGGAATGTTCCACAGTATGACATTAAACAGCTCTACCTTACATTTATTCAATTAGAGGTGGTTTTATGGCTTAAAATGACCTAGAAAAACTGCAAATTCTGACTGTGAGCGGGGGTTGCCTCTCCACAGGTCTGGTTTGGTCTCCACGAGAATAGAAAGAGTAAGCCATACTGTGCAACATTGCAACAAAGGCATATATATATATATATATATATATATATATATATATATATATATATACACAGTTTGGTTTGTTAATGATATACTAACAAAATGTGTCAAGAGTAGGCAAAAGAGAGTCTTTACCTTCTAAGAGTTCCACTTTTTGGTGAATTAGGATTTGGTCAATCTACAACCAAGATACATTGTGTTAGTCATCAGAAATAATGATATAAAATCTTTGATACAATAGATAGTCAAAAGCTCAAAAACACAGGCATATTTGCAATGCAAAAGACTAGCTGTCATAAGGATAGAATGAGAGAGGACAAAGACCATAGAATACGACCTGCAGTAACATGTGATCAGATAAGAAGTCGTTTCCACAGAAACATGGAACTGGACTAATGGTTTAACCCGTTTGAATAGTTTGTTTTGTGACTTTTTAATGAGCTGTTGTTTTACCAAAGAAAAGCTGTTTGAGTTCTCTTCAATCATACAGCACACCTTAATGAAACCTGAGATCATTATATAGTAAGTAACAAAACGTTAAGGAGCGGTACATACTGTAGCAGTAGAAGGTAAAACCCTTCTATAATTATTTAATTAACAATTCTAAAACTGTATGAATTTCTTTCCATACGGTCTGACTGTTGACTCACCTGTGTGAGGTACTCAAGTCCTGGTGGGACTCCCACAGGAACAGCGGGCCCCGAGGGAGCAGGTGCGATCCCTCCTGGAGGTCCTCCATACTCCGGACCTACGGCTGGTCCCACAGGTCCTGGCTGATACATGACTGGTGGAGGACCTTGGTTGTAGCCCATATTAAAGCCTACTGGGGGCGGAGCTTGGCTGGGATCTCCATATCCTGGCCCTGGGACTGGATAAGGTGCTACGGAGTGTCCAGCCATTGGATAGGGACTTTGTCCAGGAACAGGGTAGACTGCAAAAATACACAACATTTTATGACTTTACATAGGAGCCAGAGTTACAGATAGTGTAATGTTATGTTTAGTTTAGTGTACATCTGTTCCCACTTTATTAAATGAAAAGCAGTTATTGTTTTCCATTGTTTCCTGAGCAATCTGTGAGATACTGTCTTATGTTCCTTTACTTGTTTATGCTGTATGCACGAATATTTGCCAAGAAAAAGAGTGTTTATTTTGCCACAACCACAAAAGCACTTGAACAAAATGCACTTGAACAAAATGCACTCAATGCACTAATTAACACTTCACAAGAGAAAAGGCTTATCATTTCCACAAGCACATGAAGGCAGCATTACTCACGTACCCCTGAGACTTTTGATTTCAGAGCACACAAACCCAAGAGACCATAAACCCAAGAGACCTAAACTGAATAACTCAATAACAAAAGATTTCAACATGTTTCTGACTTACCGTTTGGCTAGCTAAATGTTTGTGAGTTGATGTTAAAGCTAGTATGGATGTGGTTGCCATGGAAACATCGAGGGTGCCGTAAACTGTAGGAGCCCATTTATTTTTGACAAGGGTTGTAGTAGAGTAGATTGAAGAAATACTTGGTTGACTACAGACATGTCCTGCTGATCAATTAGTCAACTAAACAGGAAGTGTGGTAAAAGCTGTTTTCAGTATCTTTTATGTGACTGTGTATCTAACTCAAACTGCACTCAAAATACACAGGAGCTAATCTAACAACTGTTCAAACAGAGAAGTGTTAGATTAAAGTCATACTTCACTCCCCCATCTTCTGTTAGCTCACTCCATACCCTTTTTTCCCACTGTTGACCAAAAACTGATTAATCAACTAAAAGGACTACAGACCAATTTTTCAGTCTACTTTCAGACATCCTAGCTAAGTGAGATATTTTCCTGTTTTTCCACTACTGAGAGCTCAAATTTTAGTGTAAATTCTGGTTCTGTGTTGTTAATCTCAATTCATTTTGCTATGACATATGTGTTTGGCTCATTCAGGTTTCCCGGCTGTCAATAAAGACCCGCTAATCCGCCTGTAATCCCCCACTCTCAAACTCATGTTTACCAGAATAGACCACACAAGTCAAGAATTTATTTTCTTCGATCTTTTTTTTAAAGTTTCTTTGTGTAAAAACAATACAAATGCAATTTCTGTGTTTCAGAACCTCAGTATTTACTTTGCAAAAATGAATATATTGCTAGGAATATAAATTTTGAGTTCCATCTGGATATTTGGCAATCGGTTCCTCTTGAAAAGGAGATATTAAGTCTCAAGAGGATAATATAGGATTCAGTAAAAAAAAAAAAAGAAAATGGGTGGACAACATTATGTATGTTGAATTGTTGTCATTCTTGTCAGGTTAAATGCATGCTTACCCACTGTTGGGAAGTTACTGAATACATGTACCAAGAAAATGTATATTTATTTTGAGAATCTGTATATCCGTATACCTGCATTGTGGTACAAATACTTTTTCATTTGGTGTTATTCAGAGTGCAGTTACTTACCCTAAAATGAAAAGGAATACATGACAGTACTTAATCACCCAATTCAGGCTTTAAGATGAACATCATCAGTGAGAAAATAAAAAAAAAGAAACAGAAACTGTTTTTGTGGGTTTCCCTCTTCAAACAGAGATAGGAAATGCAGAACAAAGTGAAAGAAACATGAAGCTATTTTTAATCCTATGCTGCATTTTACACCATAATTTAAATACAACTTTGTGTAAAATTATTCAAAGTATTCAGAATACAGCCCTTTGTTTGGAGTATATGTCCAAATACATTAGAAAATACATTTTAATGCAGGGATTCAGTATTCTTTAACTAAATATATTTTCAAATTATTCTTCACATCACTATGCATACCACCAAAGTGGCTTGTGGCACAGTTTGAGGTATAAAAGCTGTATTTGTGGCTCATGTCCATTAGAAACACCGCCTGTCATGCTATCATGATGATCTAGGTCTGTGAGACAACAACACACAACTTCCCTGTACAACAACTACTGTCAAATGAAATCTTTGACTTATGTAGGGATTCACCTTTACACTGGGTAGTAGTCTAACCTTTATATTGTGTTATGAATGACACCAACGTCATAGATGATATACGTAGGTAAAAAGCCTTTTGTATAGGCACGCAGCACTTATAAGAACTAGTCTGACTGGTTTCAGCTGGACAGGGCAAAGGCCCCAGTGTGAATATAAAAGGTAAAAAATATGTACATGAAATTCAGGTTTGTTATCTGACCCAAAATCAAACTCAAAATACTCCAAATAAGACCACCAAAATAATCCATGATATTTGTTGCCCCTCCTTCAGCGACAGTCCTGTACTTCAGAAATCTGTTTTACTTAGCATGCTCTAGCAGGCCGTGTACATGACCACACACTGTATACAGACTTCTGTATGCTGAGGGGGTCACCACACAGACCCTTCATACAGCATAGCAATCCCTAAACACATACAGATGAAGTGGGGGGAGGCACGTCCAACTGACTAAGGTGATTTCTGAAAACATGTAAGAAATGTTTCTACACCGTTTACTGGTTTTGAGGGGTGTATTATTACAGGGGTATCCACAGCCTTCTCATAGGGCAAAGGGTATTGGAAAACTTATCCTCTAGCAATCATCACAAAGTGGAGAGGGTTATTTTCCACTACACCTCTGACTCAATGGAACCTTAAGAATACAGTCAAACATATATCTGTAATCTACTTTCCAGTAATAAATCACTTACCAGGGCCGGACATGGTGCAAAGTTGGCTGTGATCACCAGAAGAAAAAGCAGGTCGCAGGTCAGACTTCCTCGTCCACTCCCTGGGTCTCTATAGGCAACAGCGAGAATGAGAGAGGAGGGAGTGGGAGCTGGACACTCAAAGGCAACAAAAGTCCCAGAGTAGCACAAGGATCACGAGACTTTGGCCCTCAGTTTAATAGGGTAGTGTGTATTTCCATTACTATAACTACTTTCACTAGTTGATTACTTTATAACAGCAATTTAGACATGTCTTTCCACTGATGATCATGTGATATGAAGTGACACAATAGACTGGCAATGAGGCGTTATTTTCTCTTTATCACAGATCTTCATTAGTGGTCAAGACCTTGGAAGGAAATGTGGGTGTGGCCTGGAGGTTCTGGTGAACGCGGGATGAGTGCGGGGGAGGGGTTCTGTGTCTGTCATCCACTTTTTCCATCTCTTGCAGAAAAGCAGTTTTGTTTTGCTTTTGTTTTTTTCAAACTTACTTGATTTGATTGTGTCCAACGATACTTTCTAATCGCTAGAGATGAAGTGAACACCTCAGATTTTCTTGCCGCAAAATCCTTCAAAACTCAACATAAACGTGAAATCTTACCTTCTCGTGATTAGGTGACGCTTCTCGGTTGGTTCGATGAATGATATGGTAAAATGTGAGTAAAATCCCAATCTAAAAGGTATAAAGAAGATTTTCTGTCGTCTTGTTGTCTATGACCTGCCTTCACTACCAGCCCTGTTACTCTCGCTCCGCCCCTCGAGCATTTTTCCCCAATTTCCTCCTCCCTCGTGTCCTGAAACAGATACCAGACCAGAGAAGACTAATTACTGTCGCAAAACGATGCTTGTGTGATTTTGATTCTTATTAACCAATGCAATACCAACAAGAAAAAACAAAGCATTTCATTTAGTTTGATTGGCCGTGGAGGAGACTTAAAATAGGACTTAAACCTTTTGACCTTTCGCTTTATGGTTTGGGTTAGAATTAGTCATGGTTCATACCGCCAGTTTCCTTCAGTCTCATTTAAAGTGATAAAGTGTAAACACGAGCGTCATCTGTGTTATCAGCTCCTTGCAGGCTATGATCAACCCGCTGCACTTCCATTAATCACCACAAGAGGACGCCAAAACCGCAATAAAGCCTGCAGGTTTAGTCGGAGGTAGGCCTAATTAAATTATTGCCAGCATTATTCCTTTTTTTTTTTTTTTTTTTTTTTTTTTTTTTTTTGCTTGTTTGTTTTTCGAGCAGTAACCCAAATGTATTTACAGCTTATGCATAAATACTTAAGTACATTTATATTATATCTTCTTTGTAATATAATTCTCATCTCTTTTTTGCTACTTTGCACAAATAAAACATGAAATCTCTGTTTAGCCCTTCTGTCTACAGCAGGCATGTCCAAACTACAGCCCGTGGGCTAATTGCGGCCCTCAGACAAATTTTTCTTGGCCCTCAGGCTTCCAGGTGAATTGGCTCAAATTACCTTACATCATTTAAATATGAACTTCTTACTGCAAGTATTTGGAAAATCTACCTTGATAAAGCGAATATTTAATATTTAGTGTGTGGTTTTAAGGATCTTAGCTTGAGCCATCAGTGTTTATTCATGCTATTGGTGTTAAACATGCACATATTTCAATTATTCACTGTATTGAGCATCAGTCTACGGCCCTCGACCGGCCCTCTGCTTCATCTGTGTTTAGATATGTGGCCCTTGATAAAAAAAAAGTTTGGACACCCCTGGTCTACAGTGTCTAAATTTGGTGTCTGCTGTAATGCCTTGTACTTATAGGGCAGACAACTTGGGTGGGGTTTGTAGGAAGTCTGAGGAGCACGTGCTCACCAAACATACTTTTACAGAGCATTGAATAAGAGAGATTTTCTTGATATAGCCTACTGGACTCTTATAAACAATGCTCAGTTTGGCAAGTTATTATCGATGGGTTGGGCATACAAAGTCATAAAACTCCTGTATAATAGACAATCACTCAAATAAACCAATGATTGTGGCACTCAATGAGCTCTGGGGCTGATAATGGTTTAATCAGGCTAGTCTATCTGGCTTCTTCCCCTTCTGACCTGCTGCCAGCCTCTCCGCGGTTTATTTATACACGCCTGATCTATCAGCGCCTGCTCCGTTTGGTGACCCTCACTTTCCCGAAATAGAAACAATTGCACAGGGCGGGAAAGGAGTTCAAGTGAAAACGTGTGCAAACGCTCATATGCTCGGACCTGCACCGACCTCCGCCCCATGCTTTCATTAACAATCTCTCCATCCATCTATTCATCCCTGCATCCCTGTCGCCTCGCTGTTTTGTTTCATGCAGACATACTGAGGGAGGGGCCGTGGGTATGGTCTGCAGTGAATGGTGAGTCTTTTATTTTTTAATATTGTAGAGACTATATGATTTTTTTACTCTTAACTGATCTATGTTGTAGTGTTGTTTCCTCATCAAAACATACTTGAAGCTGTGTTTTGTTTCATTCTCACGTTTAATACACAAATCCTGCATATTCAGAGTTCTTCTCTTAGACAGAAAATACTCAGTTCCATCTTGTGATGTCATGTGGTAATACAGAAAGTGCTCCACTGTGTTTTTAAACTCCATACCCCTTTACTAGAATCATTTTGATAATTTCAGCCCTGGAATTTCCAATTACTACTGAAAAAGGTAAAAGGAGCGGTTAACTTGAAAGCTTCAGCTTCGTGACATCGCAAAATGGAACAGAGCATGAGCTTTGGAGATGTAGACAGACTAATAATACAGGATTACTCATGCATGTGTGAATGAAACAAACACAGCTCCAGGTATGTTTCTGACAGCATTTTAAATGTGCATTATGTGCATTACTTGGTGGAGGGTCTGCTACCCGCTTTTCTCCATGGAGATGTTATTGCTTTGACTGGAATGTTTCACTGTATGGCATTACGGCATCTGTCATCATGGAGACCAAACCAGGCCAAGTTACATGTCAGCTTATAGTAAGAATGCAAGTTTTTAGGTATTTTTCGAGCAATAAAACCAGCTGTGATTGAATAAATGTAAGATAAATGGGTTTAATATCATACTGTGGAACATGAACATTCCAAGCAAAGCAATGACATTTCCATAGAAACAAGAAAGGTGACAGACCCCCAACCGAAAAGGGCCCAAGCAAGCATCAAGCTCCAGCATCCTCAACAATGCCTTATCCTAATGTCATCTGAACTCATGTCATCAGGTCTACAGGGTCAGTAGACAGGGCGTGTAGTAACTCATTGTATTTATGCATCTTATCAGCAGTAGAAATCTTCAATGTGTAGGAGAGGTTTGACCCTAAAGAGGACAATGCCAGGCGACAAGATGTATTTCTGTGTCTGAAGTCATACATAGCCTAAACAGCCCCAGATGCCAACCCCCATCAACCCAGCCCAGATACAGACCGCATATAAGGTCAAGCATGAAGTTCAAGAGAGAGACCTGCATCCAGCATCCTCACAAGGAATCCACAGAAGACGCCCAAAGTGAGTGTAACTTTTTGCAGCTTTTTGTAATTTTTTTGTAACCCTTTTTTCTAACTGTTCTAACCTTTTTTAACATTTGTATAACTTTTTTTTTAAAGTTTTTTGTAACTTTTTGTAATTTTTTCTAACATTTGTGTAATGTTTTGTAACTTTTTTGTAATTTTATATATATTTTTTTATTTGATATGTCAAGAGTTAATTTGCAAAAACTGATTAGTGACAGTTTAAAAAGTGACCAGAATCCTAGTTTACTCTTCATATAGAAATGTTTATTCCATTCCTTCTTGAAAAAATCTGTACATAGTCACTGATAATATCTGTAGAAGATGGTAACAAAAAGAAAAATACTGTTTGCCAATTTTTCAAAATGAGATATCTGTTTTTGCAATTGAATGCCACTGACTTGATTAATATTAAAATGGATTATTGGATTATTTTGCACAATGTTTTTTTTTTTAACATTATAACAACGTGTGAAGGATTGTTTTTGTGTGCAAATCCATATTCTCTGTATTTAGTTCCAAACCATTGCCCAGCACTAATGTTTTTCTTTAGTAATATTTATCTGTTTTCATCTGTCCAGTGTATTTTACTTATTCTTTTTCCTTTACAGATGCTTTGCTCTAGAGTGGTCATGTTAGTACTGGCTCTGCACTGGTTGATGGAAGAGATATCTGCTGCTGCCTTGATGAATAGAAACAAAAGAGTAAGTCCATAAATAATAATGACCTCTATCTTTTGAGCTCGCAATGCATATTTATTTAGAATTAGACAAACTTTATTGATCCACAAGGGAAATTATTTGGACACAGGGGCTGATGCATCATAATATAATATAATAACAAAGAGCAAAAATATAAACTGTAATAATGATTTCAAAATATATAAATGCATTAACAAAACATTTGAAAGCAGTTCATACTATTAAGTTAGGTTAATTTATTTGCCATTTGGAGTAAAACAAACACACACACACACACGGGAAAAAGCTCAAAGTGCACCATGAGACATATTTACTTCTATTAAATGTTTGTTAAAGGGAACTACTCAGAAGCTAACGCTGTAAGGATTTTGTTTATAGGAACTCAACTTGCAGGCTCTGGAGACTTTACCACAGCTACACTTGGAAGGGGAACTATCCACAGGTGACAAAGTAGAGATGGAGAGAGATAATAATAATGGACCCACACAGATTCAGACTCCTCTTGCTCCAACCCAACAGCCTTCAACCCGGAACCAGTTTCAATACATCCGCAAAAAAAATGAAAAGAGGTATGTACGTAAAAATTATTCTGCCATACTTTTGAAAATAGATTGTTACCATACTATTTTTATCATTTTAACCTCACCATAGGTTGTTTTCATGAAATCACAATATTCTAAATTCCCAGTAGTTCAAAATTGAGTTGGGGTACAATTTGCTGTTTAATTAACTTTAACTTTTCTGGTGGAGGGACTGTCAAATGCTTTTCTCCACAGAGATGTTATTGTTTTGTCTGGAATGTTTCACAGTATGGCATTAAATCTTTCTATCTTCACGGAGACCAAGCTAGACCGAGTTAAAGGTCACATCAATGGAGAGGTGACCCCGCTCACTGTCAGAATGTCAATTTTTTATGTGTTTTTGAGCTATAAAACCACCTGTAATTTAATGTAATTTAGATCTGTTTAATGTCATACTAGGGAACATTCCAGGGAGAGCAATGACATATCCATAGAAACAAGCAGATGATGGACCCCCAACCAAAAAGTTATATCCTGCAGCTTTAAACCATAAGATGTTTTGCAACGAATAATGAAAAAGCTCAACATTTGTGGATCATAAGTTTTGGTATTTCAGTAAATAAGTAACAGTAAACAGTTGCCCTCCATCTGAAACCATTAAATCTAGAACGTGAACACAACTGTCTTTCTACACTCCTTCTGCTGCAGCTAGTTGTTTTAATTCTGCTCTACATAAACTTTCCTAGATTTGTGCCTGCAACTAAATCAGTTAAAAAGAACTTTTGTGTTTATAGAAGAAAAGTCATTCCTCTTGACTCACTTGGCCGGTTTAAGATCTGAGCACTGGTAAAACAGACAAGGTAGGTTTTTATTAATATGTTAGATTTTATTGATATGTTTCATTTGTATAATGTACATGCTGTATTTTTTTTATTACAGACCTGCCAAGATGAGCCCTGCTGGGACATCTTCAACCCTCAAGAAGACAAACTGCTACTTATAGTTTGTAGTATCTTTGCTTCCTGTCTTGTGATTGGCTAATAAAAAAAGAAAAGAAGGGCTCCCTCTAGTGGAGATGGCCAACAGGAGATACACTGAAGTCGTCTGTGCAATGTTTGTCAGTGTTGTGCAATTATTTAAAAAACAAAACCGAGTAAAGATCTTCCCAGTTTTTTATTTCTCAAGCTACAATTAAAGAAAACAATATCAGACTGCAGAAAATATAGAATTTGCTTGGGTAGTTTATCTTCACTTTCACATATGTACACTTGTCGAAGAACAGAATATGTACAGAGGATCCACGTTGAGAGTGCAATTGCTACTAGAGACTCCTCAGATCTCTCCCAACCGAAACATACATGGTAAAATCAAATATAAACAAACAATCCTGCCACCAACATGGCGCCAAATTATTTTCTGTACATAACAACTTTCTCCATCTGACATGAGAAGGATCCATCTCGTGCTAAAAATAAATTTACAAGAAAACATATTTTACAGCCATTCTCTGTCACGTCTCCCCACCGATGTGAAATAGTTAAGCACTACCACACAGCAACTTTACATCCGCATGTCTCTCAATGAAAAGCACAAATAAAACTAAACACATAAACTGTATTGAGTATTTTTGGCTATTGAAGATTGATTAAGGGAGAAACATTAAGCGCTCAATAATAAGTGTAGATAGTTGCATGCCTTTTACAGATTAAGTAACCTGCAGCTCAAACCCCCAGTGTATGCTTCTGAAATGGTATTTGGGTAGCTTTAAAAAGTGCTATACTGAAAATGTTATGGTTAATGGTTAGCAATTCAGATACAAATGCAGCTGAAAACCAATAATCTGAATGAGCTGGAGATGCCTTCAGTGATCACCACTGACAAGAAATCAAGCAAACACAAAATTAACCCCCCCCCAAATACAATCAAAGCAAATCTAGCTGCCTGTCTAGCACTGACAAGTGAAACTAATCAAAAAGGAGTGACATTTTCTAAATATTACCAATTTGAAAAACTGATTTAATTTAACATCTTTCAAACAGAAATTGATACAAGCTAAAAGTAAATGTCCACTGATTTATCAATAGCTTCAATCAATAATATGAAATTGAAACATCAAGCGAATGAGAAACATTATGTGAAAATACATACGACATATGGTAAGTTATTACAACAGGATTTGTTCGGTAACAAATTAATCTCCACTGTCACTCCCAACTTCTGTCCAGTATACACAGTACCTAAAGAAACAGTCTAAAATGTAAAAGATAAATAAGAACGATTGTCAAATTATATCCTACAAACAACTGACAATTCTGTTGCCATTTAGGTCATAACTCAGGCTGTTTTGGCTGTAGGCATCAAAAGAAAAGAAAAGGACAGAGAAAACACATCCCCTGTCCTCATCACTTCTAGGTGTCCTTTTTGTGTCCTGATCGCCGTAAGTCCCTGCACTTATGGCAGTAAAAGATGTCAGGAACATTAGACTTCTTGATCTTTGCACAGGACAAGTGCACCCAAATGCTGCACTGGTTGCATTCAATCATTGGCCGTCCAGCAAACGGTTTTCCACAGTAACAAGTTATCAAGTCCCATGAATCATCACCTGAAGAGGGAAAAACAAATGGCAAACGTAATATTTGTCTTTGAGCTCCTTAAATTGTTTAATCTTCAATATAACTACACATTTAATAACATATACAAATTACTAAGAATAACATTGTAAAATGTGCATGTACCTGATTCAACCATGATATCTTCATCTGCAATCCAGGTCTCCCCCTCACTGGAGCTCACTTCTGCTTCCCTCAGAGACTCATCCGTCCTCGTCTTGCCCAGACTGCCTGGCGTGGATGCGGCGTGTGCATTCAGCTCATCTCTACCTGCGCGTATCTCTGTGTCCATCTGATTCTGCCCTGAACTCTTTAGCTTCTTGGCTTTAGGCTGTTTAGAGTTTTTGCTGCGTTTAATGCGAGCCCTCTTTTCACTTTCACTGCTACCACTGTCTGCTGCTGTCACAGCAGAACCTAGAGACAGTTTTTTGAGTTTTTTCTCTTTTTTACGCTCTGCTTTAGAGCTAGCCTGGCTCTCATACAGGGAGTCTTTAAGTCGCATCTTGTCCAGCAGAGTGCTGTCTGAGTGCATACGACGTATATTTTTCCCCTTATTGGCTCGTGCTTTGCGGACAAATGTATGGATGGTGTGGATGTCCGAGCTTCCGTCTGCCCATGGGTTTCCCATGGAGCTGCTGCCCCCGCCACCATCTGCTGATAACCCCGAACTGTGTGCAGAGCTGGATGATGTGGGAGACCATGAACTCTCCTGAAACAATAATAAAGTTGTAATGCTTGCATTCATCAAATACCACTGAATATCTTTTGCCAGTTTACCTCTTTTGGACTTGGGATGTAACCAGCATATGCCAAGACAAAGCTGCAGAACTTGTTGAAGTCCTCTACAGTCCTCTTTTTTTTCTCTGGAGGCTAAAGCGTGAAAGAAATAAAACAAGTTTCTCAAAAATATTCTTCAGTTTGGTGAACCAATTTATGCCCAAAAGTAACCAAAAACTTACCAAAGGCTCTGCTTTGCACGTCAACAGTGATTCTGCAGAAGAAAACAGTCATCACAAAGGTTAGCAATGTCGAAATTAAGCTTTAACGTTACAGAGTATTGTCCAAGGCTTTAAACGACAAGTTTCAAACTCAGTGGGGTCTACCGCCAGCAATTACCCAGCAACCACCCAGAAGCCACTTTGGGAACTACTTACAAATCATTTCACTCTTCTAACATCTTCATCATCATAGTCATCTGTTTAGTGTCTCGCAGCTAGTAAGTGGTAGTTAACGGAGGCTAACGAATGAGCGTTACATTTAAGGAGCACTATTGACTTATTTATTCAGTAAAATGAAATATATCCACCTGCAGAATTAGGTATAATAATATCTTCTTCTTTTTAATCAACAAAGCAATATTATTTTACGCGGTTAAAGCTAACGAATTCTCAAGTGTGTGCTAACAATCAGCCAGAAGCTAATGATAAAAGCCCAACAGAAAACGAGGCTCACAAAGTTATATAAGTGTAAGAAACTACAAAATACCAATAGGGGTATATTTTATATAATACACAACGTTTTAGTTGCGATGCCAAGAAGTCAATATCACTTTATTGATTACGCGTACAGCTTTGTTGAGTGGCGTTTGTTCTGCATTATTAGCCGCTGTTATTTGGCTCGGCGCGTTTAGACATCAGACAGCATTACAACGTAAAATACGCATTTGATTTAAGTGTATCAAGCCTACATGCACGAACAACGTCGATTTTATGGCTTTGAACATTACCCTTGATATCAAATGAATGTAGGGTAAAAATGTACCATGCGCCACCAGCGTTAGCCATTAGCATTAGGTTAGCTACCTCCGCAGGAGACCCAGGACAATACTCTGCAAGCGTACAAAGTGTTTTTTGCAAAGGAACTGTAATCTCCCCTTAGTAAATCAACGGAACATACCTTGGTGTTCCGACATTATGTCAAGCATTGTCGTCTTGCCCACTCAGCCCGGTGTGGGATAGAGAAGCAGGAGGCGAGCTCCAGCCGGGAGCGGTGGCCGTCGAATTTCCCCCGGTGTGTCTTCAGTTCACCGGGCAAAAGAAGAGGGAACCGTGCGGTAGACCCAAGACGAAGTACCTCTGAACTTTTCGGTAACTAAGCTCTTTCGTGGTGTCCGTCCATCAAGAGTCCCACGCCGCCAGTGAGGGGTCCCTACACCGTGAACATATTAGCGGTGACAAAATACTAATTCCACCACCGATTAACGTGCTGCGCTTCTCCGTCGTCACTGCATTTATATAACCATCGGTAATAAAATATAGCTGGAGTATTGAAACGCGCTGAATTTGCGCGATTGTTGGTGGATTTAGGTCCAAAACGAAAACTTTCAGACAGTTCTCCTAGTCAACGCTATACGCATACAAAACGACTGGAGTTTTGACTTTAATTCCGCTCAGTCTTGTCTCTGCGCGGTAGAAGGCTCGCCAGGATGCCAGCGCAGTGGTTTTCGCTAGGCATACTGGGGGATGTAGTACACTATGCAACTTGAACTGTATTATTTGTAAGACCTACAACTACATCCCCCAAAATAACTAATAAGTTGTAGTAAAGTGAACTCTGGGAAATGAAGTTTTTTTTTCAGAAGCCGTTTCTCACTCGGTAGCTTGATATGCTAAGCTAGCAAAAGAAGCATGCAGCTGTAGTCAGAGGATTGTGAAATTACTGTTTCTGTCTGTTAATTAACACCTATATAAATCTGCGTTTGGCGTGTTATACTACACTTGTTTGATTAGATTATTGAAAACTAAAACGCTAAAATGCTATCCAGTTGAAGCTACACTCGACAACATGTTATTGGAGCTACTGCAAGGAAATGATTCGGGAGGATTTTTACTCATAAAAGGTATAGCGTACTTGTTTGTGTATATCTGACCTGGTTGAATCATAGGTCTACTCACGGTCAATAATAACGCTTTTGCATACTACTACACATATAAAATTAAGTATCCGCTTTGTTGGTTTATTTATAGACACTGCACAATATTCTGGAAGATGCCTGCTGAAAAGTTTCATCAAAGCTGCATTGAACAGGTGAGCAAGACAATAATTTAATACATTAAATCAAAATATAGTGATTAATAATGTATGTACTTTTCTTTAGAGACGAAGATGTCCACATTATCCTGTTTGAAGTTAGTGAACAAGAGCTGAAAGATGGATTAAAAGAAATTCCAATTCAAAGGTGCTTAAAACTTTATGATAAATAAAGCAATTATCACAATAACAGCCTGAATAGAAGTTCCTTATTAGTATTGTTAGTTACGATGGAGCCTTTTCTCTTATTAGGTTACACTTCCATAATGCATATGAAGACCCCCTTGGATGGACAAATAGCACTTCTTTCACAGCTCATCACTTCTGCTTAAATCACCTCACACAGATATTAAAACAGACTTCTCAACCAAAATCTACAACACTAGTGATCGACTCGCTCTCCTGGATCTTAAGGCATGTTGATACCACCAACATTTGTTCTACACTTCATCAACTTAAGAAAGGTAATACTGAACATATTGAATGTGCCATAATAGTTGCTAAAGGTCCTTTTATTATGCAAATTGACTCTTGTTAGCTTAAAGCCATTTTAGAACATTGTTACCTCAACAAAAAACATACCTGAAGTTGTGTTTTGTTTCATTCACACATATTTGAGTAATGCTTTATTATTAGTCTGTCTACATCTCCAAAGATTAAAATGCTCTGTCCCACCTTCTGATGTCATGCAGTCGTAGTTTTCAAGTTAACAGTTACCTTTTTACGTTTTGATTAGTAGATATTGGCAGTTCCAGAGCTAATGTCCAAATTATTCAAGTGAAGGTGTATGGAATTTCATAACACAGGGCATGTCCTATATTACCACATGACATCACAAGGTGGAACAGCGTATTTTCAGTGTTTGAGAAAAGAACACAGCCAATTATGCAGAGTTTGTGTGTGTGTGTGTGTGTGTGTGTGTGTGTGTGTGTGTGTGTGTGTGTGTGTGTGTGTGTGTGTGTGTGTGTGTGTGTGTGTGTGTGTGCGTGTGTGTGTACATGTGTGAATGAAACAAAACACAACTCCAGGTATGTTTATGATAAAAGAAACAACATTATAACATAGATCAGAAAATAGCCTTATATGGGGCCTTTAAAAGTAATTACATGTTTCTTTTGTTACTAAGGGGGAGCCGTAAGAACCATTGTGGGTCTGCTTCATGCCGATATGCATCAAAAGGGCACTGTGGGAAGTGTGTGTCATCTTGCCACCTCACTCATCACTGTGGCACCTGGCAACGTAGGAGACACTTGTGTAGCAAAGATAACAAAGCGTACAAAGTCTGGAAAAGTGCTACAGGAAGTAAGCTTTCTTCACAATAATGCATTATATTTTAATGTGTACATATTTTTTAAAATTAATTTTGAATGCATATTTCAACAGGAACATTCATTTAGAATTAATGAAGATTTAACAGTAACGATGCTAAACAAGTCACCAAATACTGAAACGGTGCATGAAGAACATCAGGTTTGCACACTTTAATGCTGTTTTCATACCTTCATTTACAGAATACTAGGCTAAACCTAATTGAGTGATTGTTTTTCCAGATGGACCCAACCGCAAATTTGACATTTAACTTACGCTTATCAGACAAAGAGCGTGAAGCAAAGGAAAAACTTTTACTTCCCTTCATGTTCAGCAAAGACAAGTCAGACATCTCCAAATATATTTTCCTCTCACATAAAAAAAAAAATATATATATATATATATTTTAAAGAAGTAATTTTTTTTCTCCTTGTACCACAGAAAAAACGCTCTTCTTCACTCGGGTGCTGGCTCGGGACGGATTCTGTATGAGCCTGATGCCAGTGATGACTATGACCAGGAAGATCCAGATGATGATCTGGATGTTTAAACATCAGTGGACAACCAACCACAAATAAGATGTTTTCAGTACTAACTCTATTATTTTGTACATAAATATGTTGCCATATTTTATAATCTCTTGATTTTAAGAATAAAAAAAAGATAATATACACACTTTGTGAAAGTCATTGCTATAGAGGTTAAATTTATGTAAAATAATATACATATAGTGCATGGTTAATAAAAGCCTGCTATTTACGTTTAGGTCCAATGAATGAATAAATAAAAGTTACAGCGTAGAGCACCACACAGCCCTGCGCGCGCCCGTCTGTTTATTTTCAGCACACGTGGACGTGCTGCGCGCGACCAAGGGAATTCTTGCGGAAGTGACGGCAGGGCGACATGGCGGCTCGCTGTTTCATTCCGGATTTCCACTGGACTACAAAATAATTTTATCCGGACCGGCTAGACTTTGAGCAACTTCGGTTCAGTGTTTCTCTTCAGACACCACAGAGAGCGACGGCGCATTACAGCAGGACCCGTCTGGAAAAAGTCTTGCAGCTTTTCTTGGATATTTTTGACCAAGGTTCAAGGTGGTCACCCTGTCGAGCTAGCGGCGGCTCGGCTACAGGCTAAACGCTGCCTGTACACTGCTAGCGTCGGAGCTGCGTGCTAAGTTCAGCAGCAGTCGTTTTGCTTTCGCTATATTTTGACCCGACTACGTTTCTATTAAACAGTTGCCATGCGGGTGCACTTTGTTTAATGCTAATCGTGCCACAAGTGTGCAGAGCGGTGGACTCACACGTTTGCTTGGCCTCTTCTAATTGAACTGCTAGTTTGGCGACTGTGGTCAAAACCTTTTTGAACTGTCTTTGAAGAGTCAGTATACCAATTAACTAAATCAAGGACCTATACCTATACCCAGTATCAAGGTTTGGTGGTTGTGGGTCTTTGGTGCTGTTCATCATGCTGAAGACCCGGCAGTGTTTACTTGGCATCCGCACTTTTCTCGGCGTTACGTCCAGAATATGGGGCTTCATCATGTACATCCTCAGGAAGCACCTGAGAACGGTGAGAAGCAGCGATGCCGTGACATCATATACATTGTAGCCACATATATAAATTATAAACTAAAATATTAACATGTACTGATTCAAAGCAAATATTATGCAAGTGGAAAAACACCTCACAGATGCTGCTTCCTCTAAATAGGCCTATATTTTATTTGGGTGGTTATTCTTTACAGTACACAAGACCTAATGGAGTTTGCACATATTATAATCTACGAACAAAATCGGAACTGACATTTGATTAATCTTATTTTAAATGGCAAGCAGAGATTACTACAGTGGTGGCCTTCAAAACAATTATTTTGTACTGTATTTGAGAGGTTAAATTTACACAACCAATACAGTGGCAGCTGTTTGTTTTTCTGTGAGCATGTGTCTCTGCACATGCTCATTTTGTCCCCCAACAAAAATATGGCACTTACTGTGAGAGAGATATCAACATAATTGCAACCTGGACACACATTGTTAACTGATCATGCTGTGAAATATGAGTGGACTTCGGCTTTGACTCCGTATCAGCCCAACAAAGCTTGGAGGAGGGCCCTGTTGCAGTAATCTTTGTTGTTGAGTTTATTGTGAGGCACTAACACTTGTAGGTAGCCCACAGGCTCTAGAGTTTGTACTCTAGTCACCATCGTGGCTGTAAGTGGGATTATGTTGTGCACACTGAGCTCTGTGTTCTCGCAACACATTCTGTTGTTTACAGTCTTGGTGTATTCTTCTTACAGTGACATAGATTGACTTGTGACTGTTAATTCATTAGGTATAATTACATGGTGGGGTAACTATGTCACAGTTCAAAAGATGTGCATATTACCGTATTGTTCCCCAGACAACCTTTAAAGCATAAAGAAACCTGATCCAGACATTTAAGTCGTAATTCACTAAAGCTCTATTGGATTACAATTATTAGGCCAGTCATAATCCTTACCTGCTGCTTTACGTAAACACAACAAGATGGTTATTCATTAATCTCAAAGCCATCACTGTTGCGTAATACTTACTTGTTTTACCCCTTTATTGATAATGGTGGGGTATAGAGCTGCAAAACTACAGTTAATTTACTAGTTGATTAATCTGCTATGTATTTTTTAATACATGTTAGATTGCAAAAGACCTGTGAAAATATTAAAATAAGTAATATCACACAAGGACACCTGGATTCCATAAACTTCCAGATAAATTGTAAGCCTAACTTCTGCTCATCTCTGCTCGAGTGTGAAAACCTCTTCTCTCAGAACATGGCATGACTACACAGACCCTAAAGTCTGTGTAGTCCAGATAAAGCATGTTCAGTTATTATCGTAGTGTATGAATGTTTCAATAATTAATTTGTTGCGATTAATCAACTGACTTGATTGAGTCATATGTTGCTTTAAGACTCAAAGTCTGCAAAGTGAACCAGTGTATACAAACATGCTTATGTACAAACAGTAAAGCTCTTTTAAAAGTGCTTGTTTAAGATCTGGAGTAATTTAAGAGTTTTAGACTGACAATGAAATGAATGGAGAGGGGCAGAGGCTTTCCCCTGGTGGCTCTCAGCTGCTGCCTCCATTAGGGTTTCCCAAGCGTGTTCTTCAGACTGTGAAGGGAGGGGGGCAAGCCTGGGCCAAAGTCACCCTGTAAGTCTCCCTCTCTGCTTTTGCCCCATGCTCCGCTGACACCCACTGACAGCTGGAGGGGTAAAAATAGTCCTGTAAAGAAAAGGACTGCCTCTGAGCAAAGGTGTTAATGTTGCCCATATAGAAGTAGATAAAGGATCTTGTACTTAAAGGTGCACTGTGTAACTTTTCCAGAGAGGATCCGCAATTTGTTTGTCTCCACAGAGATGTCATTGCTTTAGTTTAAATTGTCCACAGTTTGGTATTAAACTAATCTTTCATTTATTCAACTACAAGTGTTATTTATTGCTTAAAAATATCTTTAAAAAAACATGCATTTTTACTGTGAGTGGTGTTGCGTCTCCACAAATCTAACCTGTAGTTTAGTGTACAAGTGGAGATTAAGTTTTTGGCCATGCTGTGGAACATTTTCGGCACATCTCCATGGAGATAAGCAGGTGACAGACCCTCCACTAGACAAGTTATGCATCTTTAAAGTATACATTTTTGTTGGGTCATTTTAAAAGTAGTTTGCAGTTCTAAACTTTGAAACATACAAATTAAGCACAGGTTTTATTTATTTGTTGAAAGAGTTGATATACCTTGTATGTAGGTGTATATTACATAATGTGTAAAGGTTCATATCATATTGACATGTATCTGAAACACACACTTGTTTTGTTGTTGGCTAATTGTTTTATTATTCCTTATGCCCTGTGGTAAATGTATATATTTGCTGTTGTATCTTCCAGATAATCCAGTATCAAACAGTTCGATATGATACGTTGCCTTTGTCTCCAATTTCCAGAAACCGACTCAGTGAGTACCTACATAGTCCTTTTCTTAAGTCATTTGTTTTGATATTGTTTTATTGTATGGGGCACTTGGATGTAAGAAGTACTGTTTACCTAATGTAGACACCAAAGTTCAAGTCAAACCCGTCTGTCCAGGATGTAGTGATTGTGTGAAATAGACATATTATCAGCAACATCAAACCTGGCCACAGAAATTATATGACCTGATTCTAGAGCCCTTGCTTTTCAAGCCAATACAACTTTAGCTTCTTGCACGAGAAAGAAGTTGGAGGTTATTTCAAATATGTATAAAGGCTGATTATTAAAATATATTCCATGAGTGATTTATTGTTAACATGGAAAGCCAAAGGCTGAAGCTGTGAAGTTTAACACTCAGTTTAACTTTGAGAAAGAATATGAAAACACAAGACCCTTTTACAGCAGCACAAGTTTCATTGTGTTGTACACTAGTGATAGTTATGAGAAGCCATAATCTAGAGTGATTAACCAACTCTCATTCGTTGATGAGATGCTATAAGACATTCAAGCCAACATTCAAAGACTAAACATGTTTCCAGTCTGGAACATGGTGCAGAGTTAAGGAAATGCAAATTTTCCAGTCTGTGTTTTTCATGGTCTGGCGTGTGCTCTGCTGGAATAAGCTTCTCTTGTATCGATAAAGCAGCGTTTAAAGCACATTATACCTGAAGGATTGCATTTCATGTCTGACCTCAGGCGGAGATCACAGCTGCAGGTTTACAGTTCTGTGGTCTTTTCATGTAGAGAATGGTTGCTTTGTTTTTTCTTTAAGGTAATTTTACCACACAATTGTCCCTTATTCATATTTTGTGATTAACTCTAGATGCTGTTAAGAGGAAAATTTTGGTTCTGGACTTGGATGAAACACTTATCCATTCACATCATGACGGGGTCTTACGGCCCACCGTTAGACCGGGCACACCACCAGACTTTATCCTCAAAGTAAGAACAAGCATGTGTGTACATGTTTAAAGATAATCCACTAAAATAAACTTGCTGTCTTTCTTACCTGCAGGTAGTCATTGATAAGCATCCAGTCAGATTCTTCGTACATAAAAGGCCTCATGTGGACTTCTTTTTAGAAGTGGTAAGTCTGAGTCCAAACACATTTGGTTACATTTATGTCACAAGTTTTATTTTATTTTTTTCCACTTTTTGTCCACATCTTTCTCACAAGATTAACTTCTAAAATCATAGACTGCATATGTATGAACATAGCTAAACTGCTACCTACATTCCAAATAAAATGTGAGCATGGGGTGCTTCCAGCTCCATCGACTCTGGCTTTAATTTACTTTATATTGAAAAAACTTTACCTTTCTCTGTAACAACTGCTGCTGTCAGGTTCTTCAATTTGGTCTTAAAATGTTTGTATAATCTGCTCCTCATGATTCTGGTGTTTTTAATTAGCAATTTTATGGATTTATACAGTCTATGGCTAAAATATAACTTTGTTATTTGAAATGCAAACCTGTTATATGTGCACATAGGTGAGCCAGTGGTATGAGCTAGTGGTTTTTACTGCCAGTATGGAGATCTATGGCTCAGCAGTAGCAGACAAGTTGGACAATAACAGAAACATCCTGAAACGCAGATATTACCGACAGGTATATAATTTATTTTCTGTTGCATTGTATTTGACAACGTTTAGTTTATGATCTTGTGCTT